CTTGTTTTCTAGCATTAAATGTTTTCTAATCTCAATTTTAACCACTTCATCGGATAGAGCTTGAAAAGACGGGGCGAATGTATATCATGTTGTCTTGTGTTGATATGCTTTTATGGAGAAAGAATGGTTCAGAAAAGACCTACTTTTCGGAAAAAAGGATTTTTTTAAAACTTTTCCTAAGAACGTACTTAACATTTTGAAACATTTTGTCCGTTAGTGATTTTGTAGCTGTGCACATATAGAAGCTAATCTGACGGTACCACCTCATGAAAATGTTTCACTAGAAAATGGTGAAAATGACCACAAACCGGCTGTTCTGTTGGGAAAGGGGATTTCCACAGGTCTAGAAGGCCATCATACCGTTATTTTAAATTTCTTTAAATGTGCTATTCGTCATCAGGAGCTCGAGTTGTGCTAGTCCTCTTACTCTCGAACAATTTGGACGTGATCGATGTAAACGTGGTACGTTCTCGAAAGAATCACCCCACAGCATGAGTAGTATCGACATACAAGAATACTGAAGCTGAAAATTGCGCATTTTAAATAGAATGTCCAATGGCGTGTGCCGACATCTCGGACGCAAAAAGAACGAAAAAAAACACTAATCTCAAAATAAAATATTAACGGCTCTAATACATTGATTCTGTTTTTTAATTTTTGATTTGATTCTTTCGTCCTTGTTCCAGAAATAGTATATATAAATTCATACGGTGAAGAAAGACAAGTTCAAGAGCGCAAATAGATGGTAAAATCTTCTTACGTCTTTTTATTCTCTTTTTTCACTATCTGGATTCACAGACTGGATTCTATGACCTGGGTATACGTGAGTAAAAAAGTCAGTCTTAGTGTTATATAACAGAGCATCATGTATTTATACATGCGAAATTTTATTATACTACTTTTACAAACTTTTAAATATGAGTAAAGCTGAAGTTAATAATGCCGTTATTCCCGTTTGTCTTATCATTTCAAAAACTTGCTTTTTTAAACGATATTCAGCGATATTCACAGTCATATATCTCAAAAACTAAAAGGGATCATTTTCTACAAAATACATCGGCATCGTGTATTTTAAACTAGTATAAAAAATGGAATTAGATCTTCTCTAATTAATGTAATTTTAGTTCGCAAAGTTGGTAGAGTACGAAATAAATTTACAGTGAGCACTCTCCTTCTTGAATATATAAAAGATGAACATTTGATGAACATATAAAAAATTGTTCTTTTCGTATTTTATTCTTAAACAGAAAAACTTTTTTTTTAAAAGTGGAATATCTCATGAGTTGTAGAGAATAAAGTTCATGTCCCACTCTATAATAATGAGAGGATAGTAATAAGGATAAGGATAATATAATAATAAGGATAAGAATAATATAATAATAAGGAGAGTAAAAGTCATTTTTCTCGGATTCTGCATCAGCTATGAAGTCAGAGAAGACAGTTTCTTACGTGACTTGATGTACTCGATAAAACTAGATTGGTTTTAAATCAAGCAGAGAAAATTTAATGATGGGATATTTCAGATGGATTTGCCCGTTAATAGTATAAATTTGCGACAATTTACAAATTTCTCGTGTCATTTGAGATTTCAATTTTGCGAAGCAGCGATTACGCAGTTACTCATAAAAAAGCGGCACTGCCTTTTCAGCTTTTAATATATTTTGTACTTATCAAAGTTAGAAAAATCAATTCTGTACAGTTTTAGAGGAAAATGAGTAGTGCGTGAAATCTACCGTCCTCTCTTTTTGCGAAAATTCATTCGCTTGTAATGCACACAATCATAGACAGGCGGTGCGGTTGGTCAAAAGAGAGATAAGGTCTAATGTTTGCTTAAGTATTAGTCACGCGTAAGAGTATCCATTATACCATATCGGAAAGATAGGCTTGTAGAAGTCGCTTTTCTTAACCGTAAATAATAGTTAAGTGAAGAATAACGGTCAAAAGGAATCATTTATGGTAAATAAGAAAAATGTATACAAACCAGTATAGAACACAAAAGAAACGTTATTGGATAGAATTTTTATGGTACAATTAACGTTAATTACAGCCAGAAGTGTTTTTTAAATATGGATACATTTCAAAAATTTTATGGTTGCATTTTGTTATACCAAAGTGTTCAACTGTTCTCAATGTACTAGTTATGAACTGAGGAATAAAAGCTCCTTTATATTCATTTTCTACGAATATTTTTTCAATAAAAAGTTTAGTTTTACCTTTTTAAATAAATAGTAAAAGTGATCAGTACATGATATTTTTTGTACAATAGTATAGTTTTATTTAGTTTTCATTTTCTGTCGATTTGTTTCATGTTTCTCAATTATGTTATATGTAATAAGTTTGTAAAAAATTGAATGGTTGATTTCACATTTTGTGTAATGCCGATATAGTTTTGTTTTTATGATGTTGTTTTGTTGATGATTCTATTATTATATCATGAAATAGTGGAAGATAAAGATAATTTTTTCTACTGCCAGTATGAATTTTTAATGCTTGAAAAGAAAGTGTACAAATACCCTTTACGTCAACATCTCAGTTGATGATATTAGGTTGGTAACAAAGTTTTTGCCTTTTTTCTAAAGATGGAGGAAAGAAAAAACGCAAAAACTTTGTTGCCGACCTAATACTTTATTTTCACTGATGAGCTTAAGCTAAGATTAAAAATCTCATCTGAATGTTTACATTTTTCAGCTGCTATGCAAAAATCTCTTGCTTTTTTTAAATTTCATTGAATACACATTTACAGATTCAGGCTGATTTAAATCCATTCCATTCATCAGTCTTTGTGCGTCCATAAGGAGCGAATGTGAGCGAGTGCAACGTTATTAATATGGGGAAAATCTGCTCTGACTTGTCAAGGCGAATAGGATGTTCTCGGTTGAATGAACTACAGAACTCTCTTAATTCGTTAGAAGAACCATTAACTTAGCAGTAGGTCTACATGTATTCTTCTATTGAAATATAACCAATTTTGGATAGATGAAATGATAGCAATGGATATCTATAAAATAAAATGCTTTAAAGAGTCCCTTAAACACTTCCTGACAAACTTTATTCCCATAAGACTCATTTGAAAGATATGTGAAAATTTGAATGGATGTATGATTATAACTTCTGTTCTTTGTTTTATATTAATGTTTGTTCTTTTTGTCTCTCTCTAATTCTCTTTCTCTCATTTTCTTTGTTTCTACTCAAGGTGTTTATAATCATAGATATGAATATGTTTCCTAAATTGATGTGTTGGAATTATTGAATTCATGATTATTTTTCGTCATGTTGTTGATCATTATTTATTTTCAATCTGTTTTTCTCTATGGATATGCACACAGGAACATTTAGTGAGTAATTTTAATCTAGTTTTAATATTTACATGCATGTATGCTTATATGAAGTATGAGAGTTATAAATTAATATCAGATATTATAAGATCGTGATCTACTAAGAAAAAATATTTTTTTTCCATGTTTACTTGCCTGAGCGGATCCATTATAGAATAGTTTTCACTTTTCAAACGGTATAGTTATTTCATTGAACGATGATTAGTAACAAGGTTCTTTTTACGTTCTTCTCGAATAGATTGTGTTTTAAAATTTAAGAAATACGGTTACCATTGATAAAACTAACATTTAGATCCAGTGAGAATAGCATGATAATGTATTTAATCAAAGGATAAAATGATTTGTTACTCACTTTCTGATGTGTTTTTTTTGTTCTATAATTTAACAAAGAACTTTTACTACGTTTCGTTCATTATTCTTTTCCTTACATAAATATATGACATAAAATTGAGTTTTCTTTAACAATATAAATTAGAATCAAATATTATTAAAGATATTTGTCTATCGTGAATATGAATGAAATAGTATCGCAAATATCAAATAACACGTACACATACTGAGAACTGATATTGTCATTATTAGTTTACAAAAAATAATAGTAAAGTAGTAACATAAACTTTACAAGGTTCTCGTTTTACTACTTTTTATACGTTTTTTCTTTATCTAATAGTATTCACCTTTCGCTTGAGTTGTTGACTTTTGATCTCAAAACTTCTATGTTCAATGTGTTTTTGATATCTTTTCAACTGTTTTATTTCTTATCTATTTGAGGTAGACTTTAAATCAATTAATTCTAAATGTGATGTAAAAGAAAATTAGCTTCAGATTTATTTGTTAATAAAATATACCGTTTCAACCATAACATAGAAGAATACCTTTCATTAAACTAATAATCTCGTTTAAACTAGCTTATCAATATTATCTTTAATACTCTTGGCTTTCGTTCATTTATCTGCTTTCTTGTTACCTTGTTTCCAAACTTATCGATATTTTAACAATATATATATATAATATGTACACATACTGTAGTGCTCGTGATGGTCATGTTTTTCTAAAGCAAAGTTATGTACATATATCATTTTTTCTTGCAGCTTTATCTATTATAGAGAGAAAAAAAACAATGTCGAATTTTATCCATGTTTTAACATTTTGATTTTTTTGGATAATATGAAGCCTCTTGAAGTAACGTTCTGCTAGTATGATTATATCAATTGAGATTAATGATTACACGAAGCAAATAAGTCTATGTCAATAAACATATCTAAAATTCAAAAAGATCACGGTTTTTATTGTTTAGCTGAATTGCCAGGTTTAGGAAGTGAGAATATCACAACAACTTTATGTGTCTATGGCAAAAAAGTCGTCTGTTTCTGTATGTTTTTTTTTTGTTAACGTCTGATGAATGTGAAACAGCATTGAATCACTAAACACCACATAAGTTTATTATACGAAAAGTATGTAATAAATATTATAAAATTGTCTCTATGACTCACACTTACCTGTTGATTGTAAAAAGAAAATTATTCTATAGAAAAAGTCCCGGTTAGTTACACACTCATACACATTATAATATCACGTAAATATACAAAAAAAATGCAGTTATAGGTCAAGATTTATTGTATTTTTATTCAAGATTTGTTATTGTGCTATGTTGGAAGACACTTCATGCGATGTACGAATCGTTATGGGGCCGTTGGAGCAGTAATTTTTACTCTAATCGCTTTATTATTAGTTTTAAACCAAAAACGTATGTATTTTTAAATAGTTAAATTCTTTTAATTCTTTCATGAATTAATGTTTTATTTTTGTATTAAGATAAAAGTGAATCAGAAACTCGTCAAATAATTAATACTTTTCAACGACGTCTTGATTATGTTTCAAAATTAAATACGGATAATTTACAACAATTAAATATAGTTAAACAACAAAATTTTCGTCTATTACGAACATTAAATTCTATTAAATCGTGTAAACAAACACAAGAACAACAACGTAGAAATTCTACATCATTATATGAACAACATAATGATACAAATAGTACTGAACAACAATTTGAATTAAATGTTATTGAAACATCACAAAATGGTTTTCGTTTACCGTCTGGTCTGAGTTATTTAAAACATTTAAATGGTAAAACAGATTTATTATCACCACAATTTCGTCGTACATCAAATACAAATAAACAACATATAAATTCAAATTATACAATGATTATTGGTATACCAACAGTAAAACGAGAAAAACAATCGTATTTAATTGAAACAGTAAAGTCATTGATTGATAATTTAAATGAAAATGAGTTAAAACAAATATTAATTGTTTGTTTTATTGCTGAACCATACAATATTGAATATGTTCGAACAACATCACAAGAAATTGAAAAATTATATTTTGAATATATTGAAAGTGGTCTACTTGAAATTGTTGCACCACCATCAGAATATTATCCAGATTTAGAGAATTTAAAGTTAACATTAAATGACAATTCTGACAGAGTTAAATGGAGAACAAAGGTAGTAGAATACATCATATTTAGAGATTTTTTTGATTTTTTAATATCATAATTATTAGTATAATTTCACTTTTCATTTTTATTCTAGCAAAATTATGACTTTAGTTATTTAATGATGTATGGTCTCTCAAGAGGAAAATATTATATGCAATTAGAAGATGATGTTATTACTAAACCAAATTATGTTCATACAATCGAAACATTTATTGCACAACAAAATACACAAGATTGGTTTCTGTTAGAATTTTCAAGTTTAGGTAGATTAATACAAAGTTCTTGTTAGAGTAACATCAATGAGAGTTGAACAAGCGAATACAAATATACTTTTAAATATAGTATTAGTGTATATCATCGTTTTAGTACCTTAATTTGAGGATAGTACCTTAATTTTTAATAATTTTTCCATCAATGATTATCACGGATTTCGAGAAGTTTCTTACCTCTCTTATATTCTATCCGAATGGTAGGAAAGATGTTTCGTATAATTATAGTCTTAGTTTTTAATTTGAGACGACACTTTATCATATATTTTTTACGTGGGCTAGATAATTCAGCAATGTACATTGATGAATGAAGTAAAAATTATCTATTAATTATCTACCATCGCAGTACTATGGGCGTAAAAACAAGTATAAATTCTTGTATAAATAGAGGTCGACTGTATACTACTCGTTAAGAGTGATACTGACCGTTAAAGTATTGCACAACTTCAATCATTGTACATGATATATGACAGAACGTCAAAGTTGACTTTTGCAGTATTTTTCTGCATAAGTGAAATTTGTTCGGTTCTGTCTGTTATCTGTACAAGAATTGGCTTTTTGTGATAAATCTTCGCTGCATATTCACTCATACATCATATATTGAAAAGCTATTTTTTTTTTCTTTTGTTTAGGATTTATTGGAAAATTATTTCATACATCCGATTTAGATGCACTCGTTAACTTTTTTCTCTTATTTGCTGCCGATAAACCGATTGATTGGCTTGTCGATTATTATATGGATACAAAATATTGTCATTTTGAAGCCGATCGTATATCGTGTACTAGGACAAAAGCATTATATCGTATGCGTTTTAAACCATCATTGTTTCAACATATTGGCGTATTTTCATCATTGAAAGGAAAAATTCAAAAATTAAAAGATAAAGATTTTGGAAAAAACGTGAAATTATTTAAAGGACATGAAAATCCACAAACAGTTTCAATAGAAACAACATTAAAACAATATGATAAATATTCATTAATAAATGCTTATGCTGGACAAAACTTTTTTTGGGCACTACAACCAAAATGTAAGATAATTTTAGACTCATAGCACGCCTACACACACGAAAACTATACTTAGATTTAGTACTTCAATGAACGATAAGAACTATTTATATATAGATTAATATTTCTTCTCTTTCTAGCTGGTGATACTGTAGAGTTTAAATATAATCCACCATTGTCAATCGGAAGGTAAAATTTTTCTTTGATTAAATGTTCATTACATGAGTATATCATTTTTGTATTTTTTTTAATATTTAGAATTTATTTTAAATCGGGTAATCCTGAGCATCCGGGTGACCGTTTTTTTAATACAACCGTTGATGTTCAACCGTCTGTACCACCGAAAGATAAAACAATTGCTTATGAATATGATGGTCACGGTTTTTATACGGTAGCCAATTTTTCACATGAAAGTGGAATTGCTGAAGCAATGATACATGAATCATTAAATCTTATATCAACAGTTCGATTGAAAGTACATTATAAATCAGAAAATTGGATTATTCTAAACGAGGTAAGTGTAATTATGGAAAAGAAGTTTCTGGTAAGAAACGAAGAGAGACTCGTCTGTATTTTAGTTAATTGAGATTAGAAAAAATGTTTTTGTTTTCGAACAATTCATCGAATCGCTGGTCTTTTTTAACACTTAAACAACCTTCGCATTGTTAGAGAAATCGTACATCATTCTAGCTAATGAATACTACATCTCATGATAGTAATTATCTACTGTGAAATAATATACTTTTGTTCTGTTTTAGATATTAATTGAGCCAACTAAATGATTTATTCTCTATATTCCAAAAATGTTTTCTACATCTAGTAGTTATATATTGTAGTGTTGTTAAAATGCATATCTTTATATTTTATATATCCGAGTGTCTTATTCTGTTTTTTTTGTTGTTTTTTTCATCATGCTACATCTTTTTTGACATAAAAACGAGAATTATTAAAGATACTAGTCAAAAAAAGAAAATCAGAACTCAGATCGAGTTAAATGGGTAATTTTTTGTTAAAAATAAGATGCTATTTATTCTTTTTCTCTTATATTTCTTGGTTTTGACAATTTAGGATATGAGTTAGATTAATCCCATCATAGAAAATTTTGAGTAAAATATATGTTTTTTATTTGTTCTTGTTTTTACATCTTTTTCTTTTTCTAGTCATAAAATATAAACGAAGATGTAGAAAAATACTCATGAAAGATACACATATACACACATACACTTTTTTTTTAATATACTCATTCATTTCTCTGATAAAATGTCAGTGTTGACAAATACCCACCAAATATATGAAGAGAAAGAGAGCGAGCTTTTAATTACATCTTTTTTTATCAACTGTGAACATTTCTTTAAACATTTCTTCTGTAAATGAATGCGTGTTTCGCCCATTTGTCTAAGTTTTTTTTGTTTAAAGTGAGATATATTTGCAATAGTTAAGTTCTGTACGTTTTTCTTTTTGTGTGTGTGTATGATGAGTGCAGTTTAAATATTTTCTTCTTTTTTTTGCTTTCATTAAACACATTCTATATATATTTATTTTATTGTTTATTTGTCGTATATTTGGTTTTTTTTATATTACTTTGTGAAAACTATTTGTTGTTACGTTATATGTCGTTTACATATATATCAAATAAAACAATAGAAGAATAGATGATAGAATATATTACTTAAACTGTTAAACTGGTGATTCACAGAACATCTATATCGATCAAATGATGACTCGTTATTGTTATTGTATGTAGAGGATAGAAAATGTTTTTTCTTTCAATTTATTTATATAAAGTACATTTGTTAATTCACATAATTGAAGCATGTTTCACAACTAGATTAAGTTAAGTATCTGAATAAATCTAAAAATCATTAACAAGTTAGATAATCGTATTATCGTGCCCACTGTTATTTCTCCTATCTTACAAATTTCTAATGATAATAGATTTCTTTTTTTTATCTAACACAAGTTTGCTGTTATTTTAGATTGCTCTTAGGAATAAAAAATAATGGAGATTTTAATGCACTATACTGATTATACTGAAGACGCAAATCGATTATGGGTTGATATCGATCGAGGTACTATGATTTATTACTGACTTGAATCTAAAAATTTGAACATTTTCAAATTTTCAGGAATACGTTCAAAAGATCCACAACGTCAATTTGAAGCTATATTGAAAATGCCGGCATTATTCAAAAAAGATTCGCCTACCATCATTTCGGCTGCTCTAATTAAATTAGCCACCTTGTTTCAAGAAGGGTAATAAAAAGATTATCATTTTTGTTTTTGTGTAAAATTAATACATCTTTTTGAGTTTTTTTAGTACAAATGAAATGCGTTTAAATATAACAAAAGTTTTAGATCGTGTAGCTGTTTATATAAAAAAATCACCGGTAATTGCTGATCCAATTCAACTAATATACTCTGTTATGCATAGTAATGATTGTATAGCAAGAGCATTAACATTGAGGTAAAGAGATGAAAATATAAAAAATACTGTATTGTTAATTTTATGTGTGTATGCATGTGTGTAGGGCATTAGGTGCATTGGCTCATATTATTGCCGATGATGTTGAAGCACATCTTCATATACGACTGGCATTAGATTCAAACGATGAAGTTGAAGTATTAGCTGCTATACGTGCAGCTAAAAAAATTATTCCATGCTCGAAGTAGGTGAGTAATTTATTGTATGTTTCAGTGATCTAAATAACGTTCTTGTTATTTTTTTTGTATAGAACATTTGCCATGTCAATTAGTACAAAATTAGTATCACTTATTGAAGATTTAACAACACCGTTGACAATTAAATCTTGGCTAATACCATTGTTTGAACATATGACACATGATGCCACAGTTTCATTAAAAGTAAAAAATCAGCAGCATATATTTTTAAAAAGATTGATAAAATTTTCTCTAATAGGGTCGACAATTACTCATATCGTTAATGTTAAAAGATACTACAAAAGAATTTATTCGAATTGCTGTTCCGACACTAGCACGTTTAGCTGTTAAAAGTCATATTGAAATAAGTGAAACGGTATGCAATGATTGATATTTCTCAAAGCTAGTCAAAATACCTAATAATTTATTTTTATCTATTTTAGGTCACATTTTTATTAAATTTTCTTCAACGTGAGCCAAGGCAAAGTTGTCGAAAATTAATTTTACACTATTTGGTTCCTATAGCACGTCAAGGTTCAATTGTCTGGTTGAATTCAACAACAAGTGTAAGATTTATTTATTTTTAAAGAAAAATTAGAATTATATACTAATTTAATTTAGGATATAATTAAATTTGCAAACGATTGTGATGATGATTATGTTCGATTACAAGTATTTAAAATTATACTTGCATTAACAGAACGTTGTGGTGATATTACAGTGGGCTCGTCGACAGGTATGATTTTTGAATGAACTTGAAGTTTTATTATTTCTTATTTGAAAATTCTCGTCTAGATTTAAAACAATTATTACAAATGTTTGTTATTCATGACAATATTAATATTGCATATAGTTGTTGTTTAACCACATTACGTTTATTAACAAAATATTTACGCAAAACATCAGGTTAGTTTTGTTTGTCATTGTAGTTTTTAAAAACAATATCTCTCTTCTCTTTTTTCTTCTTCTTCGGTACTCTAGATTCCAGTGCAAGAAATGAAGAACAAGAAACGAATGATACATCACAGATTATTGGACGTCGAGAATTGAATACACAACGTTCAACTGATACATCAACATCATTTTCTGCCAAAGTATTTGAAGATTTATTAGATCATTTACAATCCGCATTAATGTTTTTACTCATGGAAGTCATACAAACAAATCATCTGAAAGAATTACAGGTTTGTCTAAATAGATTTAAACTTATAGATAGTAAATTCTTTATATTTATACACTGTTAATATTATATTTAGGATACATTAAAATTGATTGAAGAATTATGCCGACATCATTCACCTAGTGCACAAAGTTTCATTTGTTTATTGATTACCGTTTCAGCAAATGTTGATGGTTTGTAGTATATTGTATAATTTCATATTCATTAGTTTTCATTCTATTTTTTTGTGTGTAGAAAATATGCTTCAACACATTACATCATCTCTTCTTCACTTATCTACCTATCATCCACAATTAATCAAAAATGAAATGGATCATATTCGTCAATTATTGTTATCAGCAACAACAGAAGATATTCGTGTAAGATTCTAAGATTTTTTTTGTTGATTTTAATCTATTGATAGTTGCATTTTTCTTTTATTTCTAGTACAATCTAATATCACTATTAGTTTTATCATATTCGTTAGAGAGTACAAATGAAATAATTGAATATTCAAAATTATTATCAAATTGGAAATGCTTTTTACTAGCCAGATGGTGTGTACGTCATTGTTTATATTCTCCAGCAATTGAATTATTTCGTTCGTTAGCCGATCTCGTATGTACAATGTCAATAGTTAGGGATATTTTTAAATAAAATGATTAATGTTTTTCATTAGACTGAATCACCTTCTCATAAATGTTGGTTAGAGACAATCACCAATATTTGTCATGGTGAAGCATGTTTACAAATCGAATTTATTTCAAATGATATAATAAAATGTGATTTACAATTATTATGTGAAAATTTATCAAAAGCAAATTCATTTTATGAATCAAGTCTTATACAAATGCCCGTGAGTTTTCGTTATATTATTTACAAATTCAGTAATCTCTATTTTTTTTGTGTTTTTTTTAGTCAATGACACCCTACGATGATATTTTGTCATCACCGCGAGCAGAAAATACGTCGAATGATGATATTAATTCTACATTTGATTTTGAACGATCCTATTGTGATATACGTTCATCAATTATTCAACAATTTTATGAATTAATTCACACTTTAAATAATTCTGATATAGGTTTAATAAGTCTTGATCTCATGGGGAAAAGAATGGTAATCAACTAACTTTTCATTTCTCAGAATACTAATCTCTATCGTTATCTCATTTTAAACAGCTATCAATCATATCGAAACGTTTGAATACAATAAGTTTAAAAATAAATGATATTGTACAATCTTGTTTTGATGGTGATAGTCAAACATTATGGTGTTTATCATTCAATCGTTTTATATGTGATATTGTGGTAACGGTGATTGAAAAAATTATTCGTAATGTTAGGTAAATTAAAATGTATCTGAAAAAAATTATCATCATTATATATTCGATATAATCCATTTAATGTTGTTTAGACTTGAAAAAAATGAATGGCAACGTCGATTAAATGAATTATCATGGCGTGATGGCTTTAACGAAAGAATATTTGTACGATTTCAACATGTTATTGAATTTGTGTGTATACGTCTAAATAGTGATAATAATAAAAAGACAAAAAAATCGGATGAAGTATGGGATCTCTTCATTTTGAATCCCCCCCCCCCTTTCTATATATACACATTTCATAAATTTAGGAAATTGCCATTTTACAATATTTGGCCAGTACACTAATCACATCTCCGCCACCCTTACCACGAATGTTTTTTCAAAAATTACAAAAAACAGTTATTAAGGTATTAAAACGATAAAAGAATCAAGATACTGTGGTTATTGATATTCTGTTCTTTTTAGCTAACTGTATCACCCAACGAAACAGAAGAAGATCGTCCTTTACACGAACCCTCAGCCTTACTACCCATACAAATTCATGGTGAAATTGCACCAAAATATCAATATTTGCCATTAAGAACGGTCAAAGAAGTTTGTGTTGAAGTATCAACATCTCAAGATGATAAAAATGAGAGAAATAAAAAGAAATTGAATACGCAGAATGGTCAAGAACAACGTAAAAATGTAGATTAATGTTGTTTATCTAAAGAAACATTGTAGACTATTTTGTGTATATTTTTAGTTCAATGACGATGATTATTATCGTGGAGCTAAATCAGCATTGTTTACTGCTGATACATCAGTACTCACAAAATTGACAACGAATCAGAATGATAATAATAATAATAATGTAATATTAAATGAGGAATTAAAAGAAAATCGTTTTCATGCCGGATTTATTTTACATCTTGGAACGGTAACAAATTATATGATTCATGTACGGGTATCATTTGAAGATAATAATGGTCAAAGATGGATTAATGTTGCTGAAAAAACACTCTATATCAAGTAAGTACGATATGTCATTATAGAGTATTCATATTAATTTCTTTTTTTGTTTTTGTTTTTAATAGATTAAATAATCGTCGTCCAACACGTTCTTCAGCTCGAAATATTCATTCAAATCAACAACGTTCAACTCTCTCAACCACATAGTCAATTTTTGTTTTTTTTCTTCTTATTTGTGTTTGTACAAAAGTCAATGAACAATAAATAGTATTAAAAAAATTGAATGATGGAATCGATATTCTACTGTTAATCATAATAACATGATCTTTGCATTGTTCGTCTAAAGGATATATTCTTTAGACGAACTTTATAATATTAGTAGCGATAGAATTAAATTTAATCACATTAACTATATTGATTAAAAAAATGTTAAAGGCAAATGTTTTATTTTTAAACACAAAAAATATGTAAGATCAATGTAATATCGGAAATGTCTGAAAGTACAAGCATGTTGCTAAAGAATATTTAGTACTGTTACGAGGAGTCCACGTAAAATATTGTCATTTTTCGCTTTGTGATCCATTTATTTCTCTAGATGGCGCCAATTATGTAACACTCCTATTAGTTTTCATTCTACAGGCTCATGAAATAAAATACAATATATAGAATTTGATCTTTATTTTTGGCACATTAAATCGACAGTTTATTTAGAGGATATGAGAACAATGTGAATTGGCTGAATAATCGCCATTAATCTACGTTATATTAGAACGTTGACACGACTATGGTTATGTGGAAAAAACGTGTCATGCTTCCTTCCTATGCACGATCAGTCACATATAAACCATCCTCTTCTTATCTACTAGCATCGAACTATATTGAATTGATGAATACATTTGTTAAGAACATATGCTCAAAGATTGTCAAGCAGGATTTCAGACCGAAATTTTGCTTTAGTTATTCAGCTGAATCCAGATTTCTAATGACAGATTGTACCTGTGGATGTAAAATATAGATACAATTTAAATTCTAAAAATACGGTCTATTCAACAACTTGCTAGAAAAATCAAATTGTAGCTTTCACAAATCTGCAAAAAAAAGGGAGTATATCAAAATACCCTACGATAAAATCTGATTAGAAATATGGAACTGAATAGAAGCATATTTCTACCCCTTATAATTTGCCGTGTAATCAGGAAATAAATGGGATCGTTTCGACAGTACACTTAAGCTTAGATTTTAATTTGATTCCGTATGCCGTTTTATAGCATGAACTTGTGGACATATGGAGATGTTCTAAGCCGATGATCAATCAATTTAAGATCATTTCATAGAGTTAAAATCGCATAAATTTTGGTGATTAGCCGGAATTTGCAAGAATATCGACGATAATTCGCGATTTCAAATAAAAACATCGATTAATTACAATTGATGGACAGTTTCTTTATGAACAGCTATTTATCGTCAATATATTTGCAAATCGCCATTAATCGAAAAAAACAGGCGACTAATCGTTTTCTTAATCCCCCTTTTTGTTTTTTAAGACGCACTAGTATATAAGAAACAAAATTTTTTCTTAGTCATTCGACGAAGTGTGACCTTCGACTTGAGTCAACCCTGTGTTCAGACTGTCTGGTCCGTGTATACAGGCAAAACGTGAAACTAACATCTAAATTTGAAGTTTAAATATATGATAGAATTCTTAATAAAAAAATCGCCAATTAATCGCGAGTAATTGACAAAACCGCTGATGTATTGATGATTAGGCGCACGATTGATCGACTGATTACTTGCGCTTAATCGGCTATTTCTAGCTGATTTTGACGACATGGGATGTTTCATCGAGTTAAGGATATGCTCTTTTTTTTGAAAAAATTTTCGATTTCGAGTTGAACGTAGACTAATGTGGAGGAAAGGCGGAGCTACAAAATAAGACCATTTCCAGCATCCCATGATCTTTTGGGAAAAAGTTATGAGTTTCTTAACTGTTGGCTCGAAAAGCTGAAAAACCTCGATCTTTTTGGTTTCGTGAATTTTTCTCTCCTTTCCGGCTTTAAAAAAATTTCGTTTTATATATAGTAAGGTAGATCATAGCACCCTCTTCATAACAGACGTCTTACAAAATTTTTCAATCCTTTTTTGCGGAGATAATCATTACCGCAAATGCCCTGAAAAAACTGCTTTGTCCGATGTTATTTGTAACAACAGTAGTTCTAAACTATGAATATTACGACCCAATCGAAACCTTATCTGATCCCGCTTAACACTTTATCACAGATATCTGGGACCATATTGTCGAAGGCAAATTTTTGTTTTGTTGACTTTCGATTTTTTTCTTTGTCGATTTACAGAGTTCTCAAAATCAAAAACCGAGATTTTACGTCGAATTTTGACCATTTTTTCCGTATCTTGAGAAGGAAAAATCAGAAGCCTAAAAAACAAGTTTCATTCTGAGACATGGTCCTGAATATCTGTCGTAAAGTTTTAAGTGCGATCGGATGAAGTTCTGATAGAATCGTAATGTGTGTGGATGAGAACCGAGATTTTCTAGAAAAGTCATAAGACATGTCAGAAAATTTTGGACAAAAACACATCAATTTTCTTTTTTAATGTTCTGTCTCTGATATGAAGTTGAACTCAATCAGACGCATATCACCGGACCGAAAAATTTTAAAAGCTTGTTCGGTCAAAACCGATTGCAGATTCGTCTTCTCCATCGTTGATTATGTTCTTTTATTAATGAAGATTAATTAAGACAGTTTACAACTTTAAAAACTCTCATATCTTGTGGAGCAAACAATTCTCTACAAAGTAGTATGCTTTAAGAATATTTGCTCAATCGTCTTCACCCTTTCAAAACCCTTTTTCAAATAGCCCCAAAATCGACTTTTTGGGCTTCTTGTAAAATAACTGTATTTTCATAACTAATCAGCTTTCAGAGTCGAGATATTTCTCATTTTGTAGAGAAATATTTATTCTACTAGATCATCTATTTCGAATTTGAAATGGGTTCCTAGCTTTATTGCAACGATTCTTTGAAAATGAGTGAAAAAAGGGGACCGTTAGCCAGACAAGCCGTCAAGTCGAACACTTAAGAATTTTTGTAAAATACCCTCTAAAATTAAGTCAACTCTAAAAGATGAGATAAGTTGAGACTTAAGTGCACAGTTAAGTTTAAGGGTTATTTAAGGATATTGATGAAACGATTCCTGGGAGATTTAAGAATTACAGATCGAACACAAGAACTAGTAGCGTAGAACTACGATTTGCATATGAAACCAAAGTTTTTTAATCTATTTGTGAACTAACTTTAACGCTTTAGATTTGTCTTAAGTTATGGGTGACACCGAACAGTCACTCACAGAGACTGAGAATCGGAAAACTGCACATGATTCGGAAGAAGACAATGAAGTGATAACAAACGATGACGGTGAAAACAATGAAAATACGAAAATTATTGATAACGATCAAAATCTGACTGTTGATCATTCAAGAATCGAAATTGAAGAAAATCCTACACATGATAAGGATTTGAACGCATCTGATAATAAAAATTCAGAACAAGGGCTTTCTGATGTTGTCCTAAATCATACAGATACTCTGAAACTCGACGACGATGTTGATGATGAAATGCAATTGGATGTAGCGAAAAATGATATTGATGAAGTAAAATTGGATGTAGCAGAAAATGTAGTTGATGATGAAGTAAAACTGGATGTAGCGGAAAATGATGTTGCAACTATTCCAAAAGAAAGTGATCAACACGCGGTAGATGAACTATCAAATAAGTCAAATGTGGAAATAACTGGAGTGGCGAGAGAAAGAAACGGTGACTATTTCGAAGATGAGACATTTAAACAAAATGAACCAGAGATGAATGCGACTACTTTACGAACTGAAGAAACATTTAGATCACTGTCATCGGAACAACAACAACAACAACAACGAAAACGATTAATCAATGAAAACGATTCTCTTGACGAAAATGATTCAGATAATTTATTAAAAACTGTGCTCGATAAGTCAAACAAAGATGCAAGCACTCATCTGTTGAATACGGTAAAGGCGGAAACGTTCTGTATTCTATTAAAAGTGACTAGTAACGACATTATTCATAAGTATCTATAAGTGAAATTTTCTTTGATATTTTAGCTTGTGGATGGTGATTTTGATCTGGATAAGAATTATATTATACAAAAACCAAAAAATTTAACACAGGCTTTTACAATCTGGCCAAATTTGTCATCATCTTTACAAGTAAAATCTTAGTCTTGCTAATACTCTTTCCAATTCTTTCTTTCTTCAAAGGCTGAATTGTTAAGTGTCTTAATTGGAATAATGAGAAAAAGTCAACGCAATTTATTGGCGTGTATTGACGCTCATGTATTTGAGCATGTGCTTGATTTATTAAAAAATGTAAATGATGATGTTGTGGCCGATTTACTTGTGGATGTTCTAACCGTTTTAGCATCACTCACAATTAATGTCAATGAATTAAAGTTATTATTACGATATTTAAAAACAGACAATAAAACTTGGGTATAGAGGATGATAATATAATATTAATTTTTATTAATCTTTGTTTTATGTTAAGACTAAAAATGCCGTTAAACTATTGAATGTTTTTAAAGCGATGCCATTCCGGCATGGTCCAGATGAATTTTTCAATCTACCTGGACGTAAAGGATCTGTATGAGTACACAAGAGCATAGTAAAAACACTCAATAAATATAATATTGCCTTTAGGGTATTGTTTTACCACCGATCAAATCATGGCCTTATCAAAATGGTTTTACTATAACATGTTGGTTTCGTATTGATCCGGTTTGCAATGGCAATATTGAAAAAGAAAAACCTAATTTATACTGGTATAACGAAATATCTATAACTGTATGAAAAATGATAAACAAACAGCATCATATCTCTTAGGTTTTGTACGTCAAAAGGTCTCGGTTACACAGCGCATTTTGTCGGAAATTGTCTTGTTATATCCTATACTAAAATGAAAGAAAAAGGATTTCAACATTGTATACAACATGAATTTAAACCGAGAGAAGTTCGTATTTTTGTTTTTTTTATTCTAAAATACATTGTGTTGTAGTAAGTATTTATCTTCTTTAGTGGTACATGGTTACATTTTCTCACCAGTATCAACGTTGGAGTAAAAGCAGTGTACATTGTTACATTAATGGTCAGCTAATATCGACTGCTCATTTTTCATGGTCAATTGAAAATCAAGAACTATTTGATAAATGTTATATTGGTTGCACACCGGAACGAAGCGAATTAACAAGTTTCTCGGGACAAATATCAACATTTTTCTTATTTAGTCTCTATCTCGAACCATTGATAGTTCAAGGTTTATACAAACTAGGTCCAGCCTATAAGGTAATGACAAACAAAGAATTTTTATATTACTAACCATTGTTTGTTTACAGAATCAATTTAAATTTGAAAATGAAAGCGCACACGTTTTGTCTGAAGCACAACGAAAGGTAGTTCAATGTTTATTTCCAGTTGATACTCAAATATCCATTTATCTTTTATATTGTAGGCAATGTACGATGGTAAATTAATGAATTCCGTTGTATTCAGTTATAATCCAGTATCGTGTGAAGAACAATTGGTTCTTCAATCGGCACCCAAAACTAACGTCTCACATTTTGTTCATAATGCCCATGCACAAATGTTAAGCAATGTTAGAGCTGTTATAACGCATTCAATTTATAGTACATTACATTCCGTGGGTGGTATTCAGGTAATGAGTGAGATTTCATTTAATAGCTAGTCTTCACATTAATAAGTGTTCATCCATCTTTTCGCTCAATTAAGTCGTTTTAACTGTCATGCGATATGTATAGAGTACTAATAACGACTTTATGAGGTTAATAGATATTGTTAGCAGTTTTTTGGTATATCATGTGTAGTGATCGGGAAATCAATCATTAAACTACACTCATACTAACTGCCTTTATTCCATTTCTTTCAATGATCATATTAGGTATTTTTTCCACTGTTTGGTCAATTAGATCATTCACAACTTGATGATACAATTAACTATAACGTTTGCTCAACATTATTGGCCACTATATGTGATTTAATTGAACGTTCATATACAATTCAACATCAAATGTTGAGTTGTAAAGGTTTTTTAACAATTGGATATTACTTAGAAAAGGTCTGTCCATCTCTTTCTTTACTTTATATTGGCAAACATAACTTAGTTATTTTCCTCATTTTTACTTTTTAGGCATCTAAACAGCATTTAAATCAAGACGTACTAAATTCATTAATATCGTTAACAACATTTTTTGTTAAATTACAGAGTAAAAATAGTCCATTATTATTGAAACAATTATTCGTTCATATATTTTTCAATCCAGCCATATGGATTTACTGTTCCGTCGACGTACGTATACAAATGAAAGTTTCAAATATATTAAATATTTTCTCTATCAACACTGGTTTTTTACAGGTTCAAATGCTTTTGTATACATATTTGGCAACAGAATTTGCAACATATTCTGGAATTTATAATAGTATTCAACCAATAAATGGAATAATTCAAACATTACATACAATTAAATATTATTACTGGATTGTTGATCCGCGTCATCGTAGTGGATACGAACCAAAAGGCTTAGGTATGTGTTTTAAGTTTATCTTGTTTTTAAATATAAAAAAAGAAAATTTTTTCATATCAGACGGTAATCGTCCGTCATGTTCACAAATAATTGAAATACGACGATATATGCTACTTTATATGAAACAACTCATTATTACGGGAACGAGTAATCAAGAAGATGAATTACAAGCAATTTTAAGTTATTTACATACTGTTCATGAAGTAAGATATGACTGTGTGTATTCTACTATGTGTTTTTGATAGTGTTGTCTATCCTTAAGGATGAAAATATTGTCGATGTATTGAATATGTTGGTTAATCTAATGTCAGAACATCCCAAAACCATGGTACCTGCATTCGATCGTCGACAAGGACTGAGGTAATACTATTCTATTCTATGAAAGAAAAATATATAATCATTTTTTTTTCTTGTTTTTAGAACGGTATTTAAATTATTAGCAAGTAGTAGTGAAATGACACGTTTACAAGCATTGAAATTATTGGGATTTTTTCTTCGAAGAAGTACACTAAAGTTCGTTGAACATTGATAATCTATAAAGTGTATATTTTCATTTTTTATTTTTTTTTATTAGACGAAAAACTGACGCTATGCAACCACATAATCTGTTCTCATTGTTGGCCGATCGATTACTTCTACATCCTAATGGATTCACAATGGCAACATATAATGTTCTGTTAGAAGTAATGCATAATGCATTTTGTTTTTGTCTAACAGGTTTAGAACTGGATGGGTATATTTTTAGATCCTAGTAGAAAAGGTAAGTGGACCATTGGTAGAAAAACGAAATACTGATATTAATAGTGATTGGAAGATTGAAAATCCAGGTTTGATATATTTCCTTGTTTTTTTTTAATTTGTATCTAGAGTATTTGTTCCGTATTTTAGCTGTAGTTAAAGTAATAGCCACATTATTACGTAACGCACCAGATAATTTACATCTTTATGAAATTAAAACGCAATATTTGGAGGATTTAATTGCCTTGTCACTTGCTAGTCGTGAAAATAGACGGTAATATAATTGTAAAACGATTGATTCTATGACTTATTCATTTATCTTTTTCATTTACAGTATTATATTACAAATGTCTGTATGGCAAGATTATTTACTCGGTCTCGCTTATATCTATCCGACAACACATGAACAAACTGAAATAACGAATTTAGTATTTGAATTACTTAAAATTTTGCTACATCATGCAATAAAATATGAATTTGGAGGATGGCGAGTGTGGATTGATACATTATCAATTTTACACGGCAGGGTATGTTTTTTTGTTTTGTTTTCATGTTACTAGTATCCGGTTATATCAGAAATCTCAGAAGTTTATCTGCTTTGTGAAGCTCTGTCTTTGATTCTATGAGGACTGTATGGCAAAAAAACAGTCTTAAAGTAAGATCAGAGAAAAATTCACTGTCAAATGTTTAATTTTAAGGTAACAAGAGAAGATTATTACAAGAAAATTAATAAAATGGTTGAACATATGAAAAATGATGATGACAGCGATGTAAGCCTTGAGTTTTGAAGACATATTGTTCATTCTGAGAATTGTTCATTTGTTTTCAGAAGACTCAACAATTAACACTGACTGGTACTCAAGCAGAAGTATCAACTGATTCTACAGCGGTAACGCCTACAACACCGAGTAAGTAATCATCCTTTTGTAGAACTCCTTTCAATAGTTTCAAAGGAAGGAGTGTAAGTTTATACTCACAACCTCAGTGTTTTGGATTGTTACCCACTCCTCTCTCTTCCCCTTCCTCTGGCAATGCTCTTTAGAGTCTGAAAAGCTTCAAACTAACTCGAATCTTGCCCGAATGTTTTCCTGTATGTCGTACATCTATGTTAGTGCCGAATATCGCCGTCTTTCAGGGACTATGATATTAGTTTTCCAAAAACCTTTGACTTTCTAGATAAAATCTAATTTTCTCATCCAGGAAGATCTCTAACAAAAATTAATGGCATATTCGGAATCAGCGTGAGAAACTGTATTGAACAATGTATAACACGATAAGTTTTGTGCTGAACAAATATTCATGAAAATTTTTTCCCATGAATCTGCAAGATCAATTTTTCAAAAGCTGATTTTTTCTGAAAATCTTTTTTTCCCTTAAAGGCATCAGATATGAGTAGAGAGTGGTATTTTTATTCATATAAAAACAATTAAAGGACCAAACAATTCTGATGTATGACCAAAGATTCTCATAGGAGATGTTTTGGAAAATTCTGACGACAGAAAAATGAATCTAAACCCGTACTGTTGTAGAACGTCTTCTATCCACTCAACCGAAAGTTACTCAAATTTCGGAGATGTCTCTCATAGAACTCAAAATATTTCTCTACAAAAATTCTGTTCTGGAAGAATCTGTGTCACTTCTGGCCTCTTTCTGACAAAAATTATGGATCAACATAATTTACGGATACCCGTTGCAGGGCTCTACATGCTATTAATATTTTCTTTTAAGAATCAACGGGAAGTAATCGACAGGTGTTTAATAAAACTAGTCAACTACCACCATTCAGTATATCTGAATTTAAATATTCTCCAACGCATGTTCGTCTGCTACATAATGTATTCGATACAATTGAAGAAGACGTTCGCTCATGGAGATCGTAAGTTATTTGTAAAACTATAATCACGACAGAAAAATTCAAAATATTCGTATTTATTAGCGATCCGACAAAATCAATAACGGACTTCATCAATCATAATGATAATCAAATATTTTGTGTTAATGTTGTTCATATTATATCTCAAATGGCTGATATTGTATGTAATTCAAGTGGTGGATTACTACCGCTTTTAGCCAGTGCCACATCAGCATCGGTTAGATAAGTTTTTCTCTTTATTATTGTGAAACAATAAAATAATTGATTTTTATTCTTTTATTTTTAAGCATGAAATTGAAATTCTAGAAAATACAGAAGGTTTAACACCTATTGAAGCATTAAAAATTCTTAAGCGTGTCATGGCATTTGTTGACTTATTTGTATTAGCTAATAATACGAGTTTTTCGGAATTAGAACAAGAAAAAAATATGCCTGGTGGTGGTATAATTCGACAATGTTTGAGATTAAGTAAGCAGGATTTAGCGCCATGGCATACGGCGTTTATATTTCTTTTTAATAATGTGTGAACATGTTTTTTTCTTCTTTTTAATCAGCAATGACAGCCGCTGTCCGCCATTGTATGGAATGTCGACTTTTGCGTTTTGATTCTACAAAAATTCCACAACAACCATTAATCACTAAAGCATCACAACAAAAATTCTCAGCAAAAGATCCAATTGAAGCTATATTAGAATTAACCCAACTGATGAACCCGAATAATGAAGATCATATTCAAAATGATGGGGTTTGTGTAGTCGTTTGCGAAATCTGTATTGATAAATTGTTATATATTTCTGTGTATGTTTGTTAGGCACATCAGTACGATGATATATCAACATTATTGTCATCAGTAATTAAAAATCCTGATAGTGTTCTACAAGAATTAGATGTGCATCGTTTAAGAGCTCTACTTTATCGTGATGTGGTAAGACCAGCACAGAATAAAAATGGGAAACTCGTTGTATTGGTATGAGCTTTATTTTTTGTTTCGCTTTGCTTCGTTTACGTGTGTCTTTTCTTTTGTTTTATTGGTGTTGTTTATTTCTGTATAGTATTGCTGCTGTAAATGATAAATGTTAATAATTTTTGTTTATCTTATGTTTCTTGCAGGATGATAGTAAACAATCACAATTTTTAGCATTAGCCATTGTTTACTTTGCATCGGTTCTCATGGTATCACGCTATCGTGATATTATTGAGACAAATCAGACATCATTATCACGAAAAACGTCAGCTATTAGTTCATCATCAAGTGTTAAAAATGGTAAACAGAGTGATTTATGGCTTTAGAGTATATATCTTTTCTTTTTTTGCAAAGGTACAACTGATTCAGCGAATGTTAATACAGATACAGTCAGTGTTAATAATTCAACTGTAGCAGTGTCGAATAATACACAAGTATGAAATTACCATAAATTACTAACTATTTTGAGAAAAAATTTACTTTGTTTCTAGAAAAATTTAAATGAATTTGTTTCATCCGAAGATAAAACTGATGGAAATAATGATCATTTGAATGGTGAATCACTTAACAAAACTCCTCTAGACTCAACAGATCCGTCATTATCCGATCAGCTCGGTATGTATGTAGGAATGGTAGAATTAGTAATATACATATTGTATATGTTGCATATTGAATTACATCTATATTATAGATGTTGCAAGTATTCCAGTTGATAATCCATCAACGTCGGATAAAGATAAATATGCTCAATTAGTTAAAAATGATACAAGTTTGCCAGATTATCCTAAAGCAAATTTTTCATCGACAGAGTAAAAACATTGCATTATGTTTTATTTTGAGTAAATATCACTTATTCCCGATTTTAGAGCTCAATCTTCAATGAATATAACAGAAAAATTAGAAAGAGCTCTGTCAAATGTCGCTCCATTTTTACGAGATGTGTTCACTGAATTTTCACAATTATTAACAAAAACATTAGTTGGTTCACATGGTCAAGAATTGTTACCTGGTGGTAAGGATAGACCATCATAATTCGTAGAAAAGATTAAGGAAATATTTTCAATATGTGCTAGGTTTAAATGCATTGAAACAAACAACAAACGTTGTCGAATTAGTTATGCTGTTATGTTCACAAGAATGGCAAAATTCATTACAAAAACATGCTGGACTTGCTTTCATCGAACTCGTCAATGAAGGCCGGTAAGCCACGTGAATTTTTTGCCTTTCAAAATAACATTTCACTTTTTGTCGTTTCTAGTTTACTATCCCATGCGAGCAAAGATCATGTTGTCAAAGTGGCGAGCGAAGCCGATTTTATATTGAATCGTATGCGAGCAGATGATGTTGGAAAAGCATCAGAGTTTGAGGTAATTTTTTTCGATAAGCTAAAATAGATTAATTATTTACTATTCTTTTTTTTCTCCGTATAGCAACTGTGCGCACAAACAACAGTGGAGCGAAAAGAAGAAGAACGTTTATGCGATCATTTTCTCTGTGCAGCACGTAAACGACATCAAGCCATTGCAATTAAATTAAAAGAAAAATTTTTAGCTATGATGATTAATGATAAAAGTACCTATTTAAACACATCAGCAAATAAAAAGTAAGGCTAAACAAGTTGGTGTCTATAACTAATAATCATTTTTAAAAAACAAGAACAATCCTAATGATAAACGTGTTAAATTTTTAGTTCAAAAGCATATTGGAAACTCGACGCATGGGAAGATGATTTGAGAAGACGTCGTCGAATAATTAAAAATCCAACTGGCACATCACATCCCGAAGCAATTTTAAAACCTGCCATAACTCAAAGTAGGGAGTCTATTTCAATCACCGAAACAGTATTTCGCTAGTTTTATGTCAACTATTAGATGTGTCAAATGAAGACGCAATAAATACTGCAGCTAAAGAAGACAGTCTTCATAAACAATTAAAACAAAAATCACAAAATTTTGTACAAACGGGTGAAGATGAAGATACGTTACAAGTGGATGAAAAAGATCTTGATCAAGAATTTACAGGTAGGTGTATATGAACGTTTGGAATATGATTATTTATTTGACTTTTTTTATATTGAAGGACCTGTTCGATTTTCTACTGAATGTATGTTAATCTCTTGTGGTGCTATTGTCAAAGGAACATTGGCTATCACGTCAAGTGCTATGTTATACGATACGGATGAAATTGATGAAACGTTTACTTCACTTGATCAAAAAGTATGTCCATATTAACTGTTTGTTTCTAGGTTAACATTTTGTTCTCATTTAGGTTTTACCGTACATTGAAAACTTGCATGGTAAATGGCATTTCAATGAAATACGGGCGATATTTTCACGTCGTTATTTATTGCAAGATAAAGCGTTAGAAATTTTCGTATCTAATAGAAGTACGCTTGAATCATAATATGGCACGAAGTTTATCATTAATGTTTGTTCTTTTTCAACTCTCTTTAGCTAGTATTATGTTTGCATTTTCTGATCGTAACACAGTAAAAAAAGTTGTAAATTTTTTGCCACGTGTCGGTGTTGGCGGAAGATATGGATTACCGCAACAACGGTTGGTGTTTTTTCAGTGTCAATATCTCATTACCGTTTGATTTTTATACTTTTTTACTAGACGAACATCTCTTGCATCACCGAAACAATTATTTCGTTCGGCAAATATGACACAACGATGGCAACGACGTGAAATAAGCAATTTTGAATATTTAATGTATCTAAATACAATTGCAGGTATATATGAAGTAAACTTATCAGCAGAAATTCAAATACTATTTTGTTTATATCCTTCTAAAGGTCGAACATATCAAGATCTAAATCAATATCCAGTATTTCCATGGATTATTGCTGATTATGAAAGTGAAAAACTTGATCTTAACTCACCAGCAACTTATCGTGATTTATCAAAAGTTTGTAACGCTTGTCTAAGTTTAGCAGTTAGTCGTATTGAATCATTTCTTTTATGTTCATAGCCAATTGGTGCCTTAAATCCAACGAGAAAAGCATTTTTTATTGATCGATATAATAATTGGGACAATGATTCGATCCCTCCATTCCACTTTGGAACACATTATTCTACAGCTGCATTTACCCTCAATTGGTTACTTCGTTTGGTAATGCTAGAGCGAGTTGCTAGATTCAATCTTCGTAAACTAATCATTTTCGTCTTCTGTTTATATAGGAACCATTTACAACTTATTTTTTGAATTTACAAGAAGGCAAATTTGATCATGCTAATCGTACATTTCATTCTATACCCGTTTCATGGCAAAATTGTCAGCGAGATACGTCAGATGTCAAAGAACTTATCCCAGGTAAAATACTTGCATCCTTATTTAAAATTTATATTTCTTATTTTTTTCATTTTGTAGAATTTTTCTTTTTACCTGAAATCTTTGTCAATATTAATCATTATAAATTGGGTAAAACGGAAGATGGTTTGAGAGTGGATGATGTTCTATTACCAAAATGGGCTGCAACACCGGAAGACTTTGTTCGAATAAATCGTATGGTTAGTACAAATCGTGTTGTGTGAAGTCTTCCATCTATATTCTAAATTTACTTTTATTTAGGCTCTTGAATCTGAATTTGTTTCATGTCAATTACATCATTGGATTGATCTTATTTTTGGTTATAAACAACGAGGTAATATTTCATTCATGATAGGTAAACGAATGATTAGTTTAATCTGCTGTACTTTTCTTTCAGGACCAGAAGCTCAAAGAGCTGTAAACGTATTCTATTACGTGACATATGAAGGAGCAATTAATTTGGATGCAATTGCCAATCCAACTGATCGCGCTGCCGTTGAAACACAAATGAAAAATTTTGGTCAAACTCCATCTCAACTACTCACTGAACCCCATCCACCAAGGAACTCAGCCATGACGCTGGTAAGATAATGGTGATGTTCTTTATATGAGCTTTAGATCTGACTTATAAAAGTGTAAAATTATCCGTTCTCGTGAAACGCTGTTAAATTGCGAAAAACTGTTACTAATTCCAACTTGTGGACTCAAAATAATAGCAACAATTAACGGTATTGGATTTCCAAAACGAGGACGACAATTCTTACTGTCTCAGACTTTCTAATCTACGGATATCTAAGACATCGTCTTTATATTAATTTGTGTTACAAAATATTTCTGTTCTTTCTATAGACACCAATGATGTACAATCAAACTCCAGAAGATGTCAGTATGATTATGAAGTTTTCATCGAATGCACCAATCATTCATGTATCAGCTAACACTAATCCCGCCGTATCATCGCAGGCGGTGTTGACAATAAGTCAAAAACATGATTTTTCTGTTAATAAGTATAATCAAACTTCTAGTAGTGATACAACGGCTGGTGCTATACAATCAGCATTACCATTAAGCATGGATTCTCTATTAGGTAGATAATTCTCATGTTATTATTATATTCATATATTCCATTCTATCTACGTTTAGTTTTGAATACTGGACTACATCGACGACATTTAGGAAATAATTTTGATGAACGTTTACAACAACGTCATCAAAGTTTTGTAATTACAGCTGATAATCGATTTATTGTGGCAACTGGATTTTGGGATAAATCTTTTCGAGTTTTAAGTACGGATACTGGTAAGAAAATTTTGAAATTTCTTAAACGATTGTTTCCTCATTTATTTGTTTATTATAGCTAAAATTACTCAGGTTTTGTATGGTCATTTTGATATTGTATCGTGTGTATGTCGTTCAGAAATTACTGTAGTCGGAAATTGTTTTCTTGCCACGGGTTCAAGAGATTGTACAGTTTGCATTTGGATATGGAATGGTGCAAAAGGATCTATTGTTGACCGGGAATATCCTAACCAAGGTGATCATGTTTAAAAAAATAAATTTCAAATGATTTGATATTGTGTATATATTTTTTTCTTTTAGACATCAATCCGTCTCCCGCTGCCATATTAACTGGACATGATACAGAAATAACATGTTTATGGATTTCAGCTGAATTAGGCGTTGTATTGAGTGGAAGTGAAAATGGTTTGGTACTTGAGCATACATTGAATGGTGATATATTACGTTCATTTGAAAATCCATCCATATCAGCAAAGCCACGACTCGTTTCTCCATCAAATGATGGTGACATTATCGTGTGCTATGATCGATCAAAATTATGTTTATACACATTAAATGGTAAATTAATGAGACAAGCAATATTCGAAGATGAAATAATACAGGTAAGAAATATATGCTTAAAAACTTATACTAATCCATTTGAAACTAAATGAGACATTGTTTAGAGCCTAGTAGTGAACACTGATGGTCAGTATACAGTCATTGGTGGTGATCGAGGTTTTGTTCAAATTATTCGTACACATGATTTGCAACCTGTCTATGCTTATCCACAATGTGATGCTAGTATACGTTCATTAGCGATTACACATGATCAAAAGTAAGCAAATGAAATAGATAATTTAATCAACATTTAATAATTTGTCTCTTCCCATTCCTAGATATATTATGGCTGGTTTATCGACCGGTTGTCTAATTGTATTCAACGTCAATTTTAATGTAATTGGTCATCGTCGTGAACAATCACCAAATACAACAACAAGTGCCATCTCACTATCGTCATCTTCTTCACCAGCGAAAGTTCCTCCCCCTTCTGAACAATCAACACCATCATCAACTGGAAAATAATTTATTTTATTTCACCTCTTTTGACCATTCATTCGTATTTATAATTCAAATGGTATACACAGCCTCAATGATCAACTTTTTGTTCTATGTGGGACCAGTTTGTGTATAACTTTTTTAAATATTTCATTGTTTGTTTGTTTTTTCTAGTTGAACTCTTTTTCATAAAATGGTTATTTGAAAAACATTCCAAGTGTATTTTATGTCTTCATTTATTTTCTTATAGCTGGATGTTTCCGATTTGTTATTTTTAAAAGTTTATAAGTTCTCCTCCCATCGTTATCAGCATCCAGATGTAAGAACTCTCAATGTCGTCGTTTTGAAACATCGTGTGACCAGTGATATTTTTGTCTTAAGATAATTTTTTTATGCTACTTTTTTTCTCTTGTGTGTGTGCGACGAAATATACATATAGTTTTCCCAATCTTTTTGCCTGCAAATGTCTGTGTGTGCACAATTGTATTTAGTATATTCTCTCTTTTAAAAAACAAATCGTTATGAATCAATATTCTGTCATTTCTATAGTAGTACTGCTTTTGTTGCAATTTAAGACTGTGTGTATGTGTATGTGATTCTTTGTCTCGTTTGCTTTTTGGTATTTTCAACGTTGTTTTTTCTTTAAAATACCCTTACACTCAATAGAAAAAAAAAGTTTAAACACAACGTATTTTTTTTTTTCTTTTTTTGGTATAGAAGGAGACTAAAATCTGTAATACTAAATAAATGAGAAGGTAGACATCTTTTAATCGAGTGTTGTCAAGTTCAATGATTTTGTGGAAATCCTAGAATGTAGCAGAATTGATGTAATCGTCTCTCACTCTCACGCTGCAGCGTTAGCCCCCCCTCTCCCAAAATAAAAATTTGTCCTTTCCTTCCAACGGAAATTAAAATGTTTTTTCGTTATTTTTGGTCGCACAGCGAAAATTTTTTTTCTTAAAAATAATTTTTGCTGCGCAAAGGTTTAAAACTTGTTTACAAAAGTTGACTTTCTATTTACGGTTTTGCCTCCCCCCACACTTATACAGTGAATTCTTCCTTACGAATGTACTTGTTGATCTGCTCAATTCAGCTGGAATTCCATCAGAATCTTAGTAATAGTAAGTGTTGAATAGATCGAGTTCTATCAATTCTAGGAATGTCCATGGAATTGTGGAACTTGACACTGCTGAGAGATTTTCTTTTTGAAAAGTTTGTAATAGATAAAGTTTGTTTAGATCACAACACGCTCCACTGCACGTGTACATTCCATTATATTTAAAATCAACTTAAAGAATAAATTTTAACTCTAAAATATGACATCATCGGCTGGTAAATATATTTGTGGCAAATTTACTCTTCTGAAATATTCAATAGAATCTTAGATGAGCTTAAAATATATACATTGTTAATGAAGCCAAAAGTTTGTTCTCTCACATTAATATAACTGCACGTATAGTCGCATATTGCCAGATGTTATGACTGTTTGCTATCAAGTAAAACTACTTCTATTGGAAAGAACCAATTTCTGTAATCAAAAATACGTTGAAGCGTATTCGAAGTTTTTGCCTCAAGTTATTGTCAAGATACATTATTATCTGAGTTTTATCATGCCTACTCTTACTACAGTCAGAAGTATTAATTTCTTTTAAAGTAGGAAGGGTTTTCCGATCGCTAAATAACATGACTAGAACAAAACTTGGTAATGTATTCCCCGAAGTATGTGCTAAGACGAGAGTTAGGCAGAAAACTGATAGATGATTTATTACGTTTCCCACCCATGGAATAAATTTGAGCCATTTTTTCCCCTATATAAATCAGATAATCAACAGCATCTGAAGATACTGGTTCCCGGTGGCATTGGTTATATTGGTAAGTCTTATTTATAATCATCTATTTGTCACATTAGTCAATTCATCTTTCAACTATAGGTAGTCATTGTGTTATCGAATTAGTAAAAGTTGGTTATGAACCAATTTTAGTTGACAATGGCTGTAATTCATCATTAGGTTGGTAATTAGTTTGATCATTGACTTGTTAAAAAGAAAATTAATTTGACATTTATAATTTTTAGAATGTTTATCTCGTGTTGAGCAAATAGTTGGTAAAAAATTAATTCATTATGAAATAGATATCCTTGATGTTAATCAATTAGAACGTATATTTACTGAGCACACTATCTTTGCAATACTTCATCTAGCGGCATTGAAATCTGTTGGTGAATCTATTCAAAAACCGTTATTATATTATAGAAATAATGTTGATGGTACTCTGAATCTTCTATTTGTGCGTAATAAGTTTGAAAAAAAAAAGAGTATGAACGAAAAAACCAATAATTATTTACTTTAGTGTATGGAAAAATTTGGTGTGAAAAATTTTTTATTTTCATCGTCAGCGACGGTTTACGGTTCACCACAATATTTACCATTGGATGAAAAACATCCGTGTGTGGGTGATCAAATAACAAATCCCTATGGAAAAAGTAAATATGTTGCCGAACATATTCTTAAAGATGCATCGATCGCGCATAAGGTGAGTGAAGATAATACAAGATTTAATGTAAACACAAAATAAGTGTTTGTTTTCTAAAATTTTTTAAGGACTGGAATATTGTTATATTACGTTATTTTAATCCAGTTGGAGCGCATGAATCAGGTAGATGATTTTAATTCAAATATGAGATGAATACTAAAAATACTATGAAAAATGTACAGAATAATTACATAAAGATGAATCTCGATGAATGTCGTTTAGTGAATTGTAAATCGAAAGATAATCTAGTTCATGTCATTGTTATAGGTAAAATTGGTGAAGATCCTGTTGGCACACCGAATAATTTGATGCCATATGTTGCTCAGGTAGCTGTTGGTAGATTACCACATGTAAATGTCATGGGAACAGATTATGATACGCCAGATGGAACAGGTTTGTAGATTTATTTTTATAATTAAACTAGATTTTTCTTCTGATGATTCAATTAGGCGTTCGAGACTATATTCATGTTGTTGACTTGGCTATTGGACATGTTGCAGCTATGAACAAATTCAAAGAAAATTGTGGTCTTAAAGTATGATATTATTATACGCCATTTACAATAAAAAAAAAAAATTCATTTTTTTTTCTTAGATTTATAATCTTGGAACTGGTCATGGATATTCAGTATTAGAAATGATTAAAGCATTAGAAAAAGCATCAGGACGAAATGTAGGTATTTTAATCAGAATAAATTGATTGTCTGTAAGAGCGAAAGATTTAAGAAATAAGAAATGATGTATCGGTTTAAAATACTATAATTAGATCCTAAAATAATTATCATTTTGTATTTTATTAAGTATTGTTTATTTATTTATAGATTGCATTTAAAAATTGTCCAAGACGTCCGGGTGATTTGGCTAGTGTCTACGCTGATCCACAACTAGCTGCAAAAGAATTGAATTGGACAGCAAAACGAGGATTAGATGAAATGTGTATGTATAAATGTTTGTCCATTGGCTTTGTCTTGCTGAGATATCAGTGTTTTTTAATCTTTCTTTTAGGCAGTGATTTATGGCGTTGGCAATCAAATAATCCTCAAGGTTTTAATAATAAAAGTTAAGAGAATAAAACAATAAATTGTTTTTTTAATCGTTGTGACAGAATCTCCGTCAATATATTTTATGAAACAATCTCGTGACGACTTTTTTGCCAGAGTTATTATATGTGGGCGATGCTCTCATCTGATAAATATTTCTATATCAATTTTTCGGTTTTTGAGAAAGTTTTCCATTTGGGTTATTGTTAAAGTTTATCTGATTTTTTTATTATGATATTTATCGAAGTAATTTATTCTAATTGATGTTCTTCTAAGCTGGTTGGTGCCATGGAAAACAATTAATACAGACCGAAGCGTCAACAAATATTTTTGAACACTAATTTTACTTATGTAATCACATTGTCGCTTCTAGATTGTCTATTTTCACTTTGAAATGAGTAACATTTATATTCAAAAACTAGCTACAAATGGTAAGGTAATGTAAGCATACGTTTTATGTTTGATTTTTTAACGTTAAAAATTATTTATTGCTTATAGGTTATATGGACCACGACTGTAGGTGATAATGAAATAGAATTATGATCTAGAGAATGTCCAGTTGTTTTTCTAAACGTTATTCAATTATGTTTGCATGGATACTACGATAGCACCGTATTTCATCGTGTTGTGGCCACATTCATTGTGTATAGTAATGATCTCACTGGTGCAGGAGACGGAGAAGAATCTGCTACAGGAAAACCGTCTCAGATACGTGTCAACATTTTAGTTTGAACACATTTTAATGTTAATTGGTACTTTTTTTAAAAGGATGAATTTCACACACGCTTGTGGTAAGGTATAACTAAATGTTTTTTTCATTAAAATTTGACTGTAAGTATTTTGTTCATTTTTTAAGGTACAATCACTGTGGACTTGTTGGCATGGTCAATAATTGTCCGAATATGAATGAACGTTAATTTTTTTTTCACAATGAGACCAACACAAGAACTTGAGAAAATAAATACATTGTTTGGAAAGTAGACATATGTTTTGGCATTATCTACATCTAACATTACTGTGGATGTCAAGGTAGTTGAAAAGACATTATTTAATATGTTGAAACTTGAAGAAGGAGAGATTGAAAATAAAATACCGATCTATCAAAAAAAATTCTTCGTAAGAATTTAAATAACTATTCTGTCAACATGTCTTCGAATAGTATACAGTTCATTCTTTTTGTAGGCATTGGATTTATTCAAAAATTTTCGTAACAAACTTCATGCAGCAAAAGACGTAGATGATCGAATAATAAAAAATGTACCATCTAATCGACCACGAATTGAAACAGAAGGAGAATGGTGGCCGACCATGCTAAAGATGACTTTTTAAAACATCGTTTTATATCCGATGAACTGATTGATGTAACAAAGAATATTTATGATACAGATCAATTAGTTATCTATGATTCACGAAACCCGATCACGAAACACCGACGTGAGGAAAGTAATTTAGCAATGAAATCAAAATGAAAAGCTCATTCGTGATTTGACTATTAATTATGTAAATTTGTAGCTAAATAGTCGTTGTTTTTTTTGTTATTGTTCTAATTTTAAGAATAGAAAAGGATCACTTCCATCGGGAAAGAAACGGGTTAGTTGAAGTTTTACTGCTGTTTCTAATTGTTCTAAGCATGCAACAGTAACAGTTAACTGTAATTGTTGACGAAAAAAATACATGCAAAAATTTTTGTTCAAACATAAAAAAAAAGCGAAAGATAACGTCGATCAAAGTGTTTAACAGTGTTAGAGTAATCAAATAATCAAAAAAAAGTACTTTTCGGGCCATATTTGTCTCTCTTTTTTTCACTTCTGAGTGTTCTGTTTACGTTCTTCACACATGGGATGTCGAGTTAAGAATTTTTAGAGATTTTAAGACACAAAGAAATAGAAATTTTTTTTTTCGGTAACGGTTGTTCCTAGATTGTTCCAAAGAGGATATAAAATCAAATTAATATCAAATTAAAATCGCATTAAAATTGCATCGCTAGAGGAAGAAATGCTAGTCACTTCAAGAATATTATCAAAAGAAAACCTCACTACTGGTATTAATACAAAATCTTTTATTTATCTACGATCAGAAACCATCTGTTCGATCTATAAGGCGAGGTTAACTATCATTTAATCAAATAATAGTTTACCTTTGGTTTCTTAGATAGACTAGCATTTGTATCATGGAATTAAAATTTCCTGGATATGTTTTAGCTTCAAATAGACCAATTTGTTTTGTTCTTTAGCCTAGTTAGTGTAGTTAAAAGATGAATGACAGGAAATTAAGAGGCTATTAATTAAATCGTATATGGTTGGGAGCGTACAGATTTATCACAAAGAAAAATTCTATCGGGCATGAAATCATCAGTTCCATTGTAAATGTCTTCTCGCACACGTTGAGAAGTTTCATACTGGATCATGTAATTGGTGTGGGAATGTGGCTAGAACTCAGCATATCACAAGCAAATTTAACATGACTAAAGAATTCATTCTTCTTTTTTGCTGAATACTATTTCAATTAGTCATAATCCAACATAGCCGTTGAAGTAATAAAAAGCTCCAAAAAAATATAAAACAACTGTAAATCAGCTGCTATAGCTGTTTTTCGACGCTATTCATATGGAAAGAATAGCGTGAAAGAGCCAGAGCAGTCGCGACCAGTTCAACTTTGAGTAGAGGTTGCTGGAAAGGAAAAACAATTTGAACTAGAACACCAGAAAAAAAAGATTTTGTTATTGGGAGACAACGAAAATTTTCAGTTGTTGGATGGGGATCGCCCAGAGATTGCGACAGTCCGCGAAAAAGCTTTTTCGTTCTCTCATCTGACGTTTAACTATATTACCCAATTAAATATCGCGACGCTGCCGCCGCTTCTATCATAGCATCTGATTGGCTTTCAATGACGAAGAGAAAAAAACAGGAGCCAATGGATGAATGATAGATGCAAAGACACGACTTGACATAGTGGAATCATGATCTATCAAAGTTTTCTCATATTTCGTTCTCCCACAGATAGGTCTGATGCACTTTAATTGCTCAAGAAATGGGAAAGTCCAACTGCCTTCATTTCTTCCATAGTGGAAACTCGAATCAATGTTTCTAACGTGAATCAGCACTTTGTTTTTCAAAGCTGAGTGTACTACAATGATTCATTTTGAAACCATATATTTTCCACATAAACTGGCATAAAAACAAAGTGTACACTATACACTCTGTTTTATCTCACATCGTGTAAAATGGTGTTTACATTTAATTTCATTTGGGTACTGCATATTCTGTTTCAAACGGTACACTCTCTTATCAGAAACACTGGCTCAGAGATATGTTCAAGTTTTCTTAAACGAACCTAATAGGTCTTACGAAATTTCACGCAAAAATTGAAATTCTTTTTTTCTGAGTGGGAAGAACTAGTATGTATTCAAACCTTTAAAAGTTTCCTGAAGTAAAATTTGCTAACATTGCAGCGTACAAAAAGCGGTACAACGTCAAGTTATATGTCGTTTCTTCTTTTTCTCGGATTGAGTCGACACTCATAGTTTGGTCGAATACCCGACGAGACGGATAAAACAGATTCGTCACTATAGAGGCTGTACCATTACCACAGTTAAGTTAGAAGATTATTTTGATGGTTTTTGTTTTAATTTAGATTTTTATAATAATCTCTATGATAATAGCACCGCCTCTTATTTGATTATTAGTTTTCTCCTGCTATCAGTCGAGTTTACTTCAATAAGAATTATGCGTCTGCTAAAGAAAAATATTGATCGAGGTTCAGGTATTATACAATTATTACCGGAAGACAATGAAGATATGTGGCATGCTTATAATTTGATCCAAATTGGCGATGGTTTACGATCGTCAACGGTAAGAAAAATTGTTAATACCTCTGACACTGGTACGTCACAAACAATGAAAAAACGCACAACATTAACAATTGAAGTTGAAGCGATCGATTATGATTCATCAGCGTGTGCTTTACGTATTAAAGGTCGAACAACTGAAGAAAATGATTTTGTTAAAAAAGGTATTGAGATTAATTATTTTCTACACGTTAATGCTCACATGATTTTGTTGTTTGAACTAGGTTCCTATCATACTATCGATCTAGAATTACATAGTCCATTTTCATTAAGAAAAACTGAATGGGATACGATCTCATTAGATCGTGTTGACATGGCCACAGATCCCGTACAATCGGCTGATGTTGCCGCTATTGTTATGCACGAAGGCTTTGCAAATGTTTGTTTAATCACTCAACATATGACAATAATTCGACAAAAAATTGAACATACTATACCGAGAAAACGAAAAGGTCTATGTCAACAACATGATCGTGGCATGGAAAGATTTTTTGATTCAATTATTCAGGCTATTTTGAAACATATAGATTTTACCATCGTTAAAGCAGTCATATTGGCAAGTCCTGGCTTCATTAAAGATCAGTTTTTTGCCTATATGTTAGCAAAATCAATAAAAGAGGATGAAAAACATTTACTTGATAATAAAAATAAATTTTTATTACTACACTCGAGTAACGGTTTTAAACATGCTCTCATGGAAATATTGCAAGATCCACAAGTTATTAATAAATTATCTGATACAAAAGCAGCCACGGAAATGAAATTACTCGAGCAATTTATGCAGTTATTAAATAATGAACCAGATCGTGCTTATTATGGTCTGGAATCAATTGAAAGAGCAAATCAAGCACAAGCTATTGAATGTGAGTAATTGAGAGCTTTTTTATCCTGATAGTACTTGTATAGTAGTAGGATTGATTTTGAGTATTGCTTAGGGGCTCTACTTTTGTTCGCTTCTGCAAGATACTCATTAGTTGCTGCAATTTGAAAGACATTTCGTATTTCCGTGTTGTTTAGGTTTACTGATAACAGACGAATTATTTCGTAACATCGACTTTATTAAACGAAGACGATATGTGGAATTAGTTGATAGTGTCAAAGAAAGTAGTGGTGATGTTCGATTATTTTCATCGTTGCATGCTTCAGGAGAACGGCTTGGACAATTGACTGGTATCGCTGCTATTCTGAGATTCCCGATGCCAGATTTGGATAACGACGAACAGTTACATCATCACGATCATGCAGATAATATCACCATCAACGATGATTATATTCCAGAAAATCCGAATAGAACAGTGAATCATAATAATTATTACAGCGGACAGGGAGATAAAACCTCAAATTCTGAACAATCAAACAAACAGGCTACTAACGCGGCGTCGGCTTGGTGATTTTTTTTGTTATTGTTGTATTCCATTTTGCGTGTCTATACGTCTAAATCCGTAGGTTTGTTTCGTTCGAAACTAACTGAAAACCTTCAAAGAAAACAGAACGGCTAGTGAAGTTTATCGGGATGTTAACGGTACAAAGGAAGTATGACGAGATGTCTGAAAGGTTTCTGGTTGCATTTCTGATATCTATTCAAGCTGATTCGTTTAAACTGGAACTTTTTGAACAGTTTTCCCGCAAACATTTGTGAGTTTGTTGATAACTCTGACTTTTCCTCTTTACGGTTAAGTTACTTATTTTTCATGAAATCCTATATAGTAAAAGCTTTTTTACAAGTGTACGTGTGTCCTTTGTATGTAGGAAAATTTTTTCATTCATTTGGTTCTTTTGAAATTACGAATACATGAAAAAAGGGTAATGAATTTTGGTTATTCTCATTTTATCTTCGTTTGCTAATGTTTTATTTTTTATGCAGAAAATTTTCGCTCTTGTTGTTGTTATGTTATAAATTTACACGTGACCATGTTTAAAGTATATTAACGATACTTTAAAGTATCTCAATTATTTTGAAGAAGAACAGCACAGAATTCTTGCTATAGAGTTTTATTGAAATCTGCGGTGGATTGTATGCACAAGGAATAATTAAGTTGTTTATGAAAATATGGTCACGTGGAATATGGGGGTATCATAATGGATTCGAAGTATGATGACCGAAATATTGCTTGTTTAAAGCTGATCCAGTACGACATCTATCAGTGAGCATGAAATGAGATCACAGAGACAAGATCATTTTACTCTTATATCCGATGCTTTTGTTTGATGATAATCTATTATTAGATTCTTTATTGATTCTCAGAAGAACGAAATAGACTACGACTATTAAAACTCTTTCAGACCAATTTTATTGGCTGCAATGGCCACGTAAGAACTAATCGTAGATCAACCCATTTTTGAAGTATGCATCTGCTACTATACACGAGGATCTCTGTAATCGAACTATCTATAGACAGATGACTACAGTCAATGATCAGTCGTCATCACGTCAAAAATCGTTCCACAATGTCAGTGCAAAAAATACTGGAACGTCTTCAGAATTTTGACATTGAAAGTTAATGTGAAAGAGCTCTAAAAACCGCTCAACATCCTGATCATCAACTAAAATTATTCCATTGTTGCTCGAATTACACTACTAATGTCAAAAAAAAATCGAGTTTATAAATCCATATTATCTGTGCTCGAATCCATTTTGTAAATAAGAACTGATTAAAAGATTTTTATTATAAAATAAGAAGTCTTCTCTATCGTAGTTTGAACTTTTAGAAAGATATATGTTGTAGCGAAAACTGGAATGCGATGAAATTCTAGATTTCGCTAGCGAAAACTGACGGGGGGAAGTATCCCAACTGATAAATCGCTTTTTCAACGAAACCGAGTGGACTATAGGTAGTCGACGATGTTGATTCCGAATATCACCATGAATGCTGCTGCTAGGCCTTCAAAGACCGGTCTTCTGGAAAACCAGTTGTTGAGAAACTCTAAACAACAACCAAAAGCTCTCTTAATTGTAGTGCATAAATGTCTGATTAAAACGAGGCATCTCCCAGCTCTACACGACCTTTCTTTGTAAAGTTATAGAGTTTACAAGAAAAGTCCTAAATTCATTTTTCGTTTTTCTGTAGCTCTGAGGTGACAATGAACATTTAGGGCTTTTCTTGTAAACTCTATAACTTTGCAAAGAAAGGTCGTGTAGAGCTGGAAGATGCCTCGTTTTAATCAGAAATTTATGGACTACAATTAAGAGAGCTTTTGGTTGTTGTTTAGAGTTTCTCAACAACTGGTTTTCCAGAAGACCGATCTTTGAAGACCTAGCAGCAGCATTCATGATGATATTCGGAATCAGCATCGTCGACTACCTATAGTCCACTCGGTTTCGTTGAAAAAGCGATTTATCAGTTGGGATACTTCCCTCGTGAGATACATACATATTGCGATTCCACTTTTCCCTGGTGAAATCCAGAATTTGACCCGGCAAGAATCGAATCAATGTAACGGGAATAGATTTCAAGTTATAGAAACAAAATAAATATTTTACAAAGATGAATGAAAAATTATATTGTCTAAGGTGATTTTTTGCACCTTTTTCTTTCCTTCCCCTAGTGTCGTACTCTTCGCCACAGATAAAAACTCTTCAACAGCAATTTCTGTGGCGAAGAGTACGACACCGGGAGGAGGAAAGAAACAGGTGCAAAAAAATACCTTAGACAATATAATTTTTCATTCATCTTTGTAAAATATTTATTTTGTTTCTATAACTTGAAATCTATTCCCGTTACATTAATTCGACTCTTGCCGGGTCGAATTTCCGATTTCACCAGGGAAATGTGGAATCACAATATGTATGCATCTCAGTTTTCGCTAGGAAAAACTTGGATTCCAGTTTCATCTAGTCAAATTCTAGATTTCGCCAGCAAAAACTCGGATCCCACTTTTATCTAGCAAAATCTCGAATACATAAAAGAGAAGCTCAAGAAGAGTGAGAACATCTAGAATATCAAATACTTTACATTTTTGTTTTTAGAATTGTACGATTTAGGAGTGCGTGTGTTTGTGCGTGTTAAAACATAATGAATATCTTTCGATTACTTGGTGATTTTTCCCATCTTGCAGCCATTTTTATATTATTAGCAAAAATATGGAGAAGCCGAACATGTGCAGGTAATAATTTCCTTTTCTCTATTTCAATCAGATCAAATTGATGTGTTTTCTTTGAATAGGTATATCTGGTAAAAGTATTATTCTCTATGCCATTGTATTTACATGTCGTTATTTGGACTTGTTTACACATTATATATCGTTATACAATTCTGTTATGAAAATATTCTATTTGGTGTCGACTTATTTTACATTATATTTAATTTATCGTAAATTTAGATCGACCTATGATCGAAGTCATGATACATTTCGTATTGAATTTCCTATTATAATATCGGCGGTTTTATCACTTATATGGAATCATGAATTTTCAGTTTTGGAAGTATGTTTTATATAAAAAAAAATCTCTCACTTTTGAAAACTAGACAAATCAACACGGATCCTCTAGCCGTTGGTAATGTTAAAGAAAACGTTATTGATCACATGATTAACATGTATGAAAAACATGAATCATAGAGGAACTCTGGTAACTGGAGCATTGAAATAGATGGGATTGATTTTCGTAAAACTTTCTATAATTCTAAGCGGAGCCAGTTAACACTAAAAATTGAATGAATAACGTCTTCTATAGCGATATAATATAACGTTAAAATCCGTTCAATAAATCAAAATTTTCTGAGGAACATTACATCAGAAAATTTCATCTTGGGAAAGGGAGTTTTTTTTCTACACTGATAGAATTTTCCGTATCTATTTTCATATGGTGATATCGAAAAGACATAGATAAGGGAAAATCTTCATTTCTTGATTACAATATCAATCGATTGTTCTCTAAATATTAAACATTACTTTTTCTGTTATTTGATAGATTTTATGGACATTTTCAATCTATCTTGAATCTGTTGCTGTTTTACCACAATTATTTATGGTTAGCAGAACAGGCGAAGCTGAAACAATTACAAGTCATTATTTATTTGCATTGGGTATTTATCGTTTTTTATATATATTAAATTGGATTTATCGTTATTATACAGAAGGTTTTATCGATTGGATAAGTATTGTATCGGGATGTGTTCAAACAATACTTTATTGCGATTTTTTCTTTCTTTACGTGACGAAAGGTAAATATCAATTTATTTATTTAATTTCTAAATTATTGGGATCTTTGTTTTTGAGGGAACATCTATTATAATAAGATCCTTGTTATATTTCAGTGTTACGTGGCAGACGTATGCGTATACGTGAGGATATTTAAGTGTGAGAGAATGATGCATGCAAGTGGAATGATCATTTAATCCAGTGTTATTTTTTTGTTCTCTTATTGACTAACTGAATGTCGAACTTATCTTTCATTAGAGAGAAATAATTTTTTTTTTATTCGTGACATACGTTGATTGTTATCTTTTTGTTGTTTTAGTTTTGAGAAGAAAACCATTACTACTACCTGCATAAAAATCATTTTATAAGCAAAAAATTGGCTATGTACTCTTAAATTAGAAACAAAACATAAAATAAACGATTTCTTATAATGCAGATCTTTGTTAGGATGATTTTTATTTATTTGTTTTTTTATTTTCTAATATCAGTAAATGACACAATGTTGACTATTCCCACATTCGACCCAACGATCAAAATATGTAAAACTATGAGAATTTTTTTTTGAATTTTTATTCTTTTTTTGTCCTCATGACTCTTACTTTTTATTTTTATTAAATTAATTGACGATGTATTCGAAGTGGATGATTTGCTTTTGTCAAATATCAACAGAATTATCAAAATTTTTCGTAGCTAAATTATGATTAGCTGATAGCATGATTGTATCTCGAGAAGTTAGATATTTTTATATTGATACACGAGTACACCATTGACAAGCAAACTTTCACTTTAACGCTACGAATGACTTACCGATTTGTCCGTTCTTCACGTTTAAAAAGAAAAAAGCAACAATCTATCCCTCCCTGACGTTTCTAGTCTTTGTACAATAGATAAAATGGTTTTTTTTACTCTCTAGTGCTCTTTCTCTCTGTCTCAACAAACAAGTAAAAGATAAGTTCGACTCAACAGTTTAGTTCCAATATTTTGTCAAGATCTTATTCTTGTTGTGTTTTATTGTATTTGTTATTTCTTTGGTTGATTTGTTTATTATTTTCTGTTTTCTTGATGGTATTTGAAGTATAAGTTTGTTTTTTGTTTTCTCTCTCTTTCTCTTTGTTTTCACACATCCAAAAATATGGTCTATAAGACAGATGCATAAAAGTAATATAAGAACTGTTTTTTTATTCTTGTTGTCTTCTTTTTTTGTTGCAATAACTTATACATGCTTATAGTTCTATTACATATTACAAATATAATAAAAAATATAGTAAAATAAGATTTTCCCTTGTCAATATATTGGATTAATTCTGAGATTGAGTTGCAGTATGACAAAATTATCTTTGGCTCTTAATTTCTTACATCATCTTAAATATCGGCAATAAACATAAGTATATTGTAAAGTATCAAAAGTATATCTGATAGACAATCAAACTGTCTTTGTCAGCAAACGTTTTCAAAACTATTTTTATTTATCAAATCATTTTCAGTATTCAATTACACGCAAGGTTAACAATAATCAGAAAGTCATTCATGGTACCTTCTTTAAACAGAGATTCATCAACACTAAAATACATAGTTGACAACCAAATCAACAGAAAAATCATCCAATTTACTTTTTTAGTGAAGAAAATTTTAACTTTTATGAATTATGGTTGAGACATATTTCTAAGTGTAATATATCGGGGAATAATTGAAAGAAAACAGTGAATAGAATTGTCAAAAATAATTGCATAACATTCAGTTTTTAATGACATTTGTTAATGTGGATCTAACTTGAAATGATATATGTTTTATCTATCCTTTTTCTGCAGATGTCTCAAGCATCGACAATAATTACTGATGTTCATCCAGTACCATCCACTGGACAAAAAGTCGACAAAAATCAAGTAAAAAAGAAAATATCAAATAAAAATGATCCAACAGCGACAAATTATTTATCATCATCCACAAATATAAGCGCTGGTCATCATCTCTCCTATTTATTTCAAGTAAGGTTTTGTGGTTGTAATATTACAAAGTGAATTTTATCATCTTTTTATTAGGCCGCTTACACTGCATTATTAACAAATGGAAATTTAAATGTCGTGAGAAATCTTATAAAACAACTGAATGTTCATGCAAAACGAAAACAATTACGTTTGCAAGTGATTGTTATTGAAAAAAGTAGCTATCGTATAACATGTTTCCTTATCTTATAGACATCCAGAAATGAAACGTCTTATCTGTTCATATTGTGATATGCTTTTATGGTCACCATTAACGGCAAATATACAATTAAGTAAATATATTATGAAAAAAACTCGAAACAATTGAAAAATTATTTGTTTTATCTAGATAAACGTAAAACATCGGTGATAGTCTCTTGTACGACATGTGGTCGTTTTAAACGATATCCCAAAAAAAACTTAAACTGGGCAATGGGATATGGCACCGTGACAAATGACTGGTTATCTCATAACACATCTCCTACGTAATTGTATAGTTACTCTTTTGTTAAATTTTACGTAAATAAAAGTAATTTTTTCTGCTACTATAGTTTTTGGTTCCTAATAAATATCGTATGCGTTCGATTGCCTTTTATATTTTTCGTTGTTTTTCTAGATGAATCGAGGACCATTTCAGAATAAAGGAAATTTTGCATACTTAAGACGAAAAGCACCACAAAAAGGACAACGGTACGATATTTCTTATATAATTTGTCATTAAAGATTTTTTTTAAATATACTTTTTTTTTCCTAGACCTATTTTAGCACCAAATTATCGTCTAAATCAATATCAATTTAAATGTGCACTACCACAAACTCTCAGAAATTATGTAAAAGGAGGTGATTCGGCAAGTGTGGGTAAGTGTATGTTTTTTTCAATTATGTTTCAATATGCGTTCAATCAAATTCACATCTCAGAAATTAAGATGTCACTAATCATCATATTTAGTATAGGTAATTTTTTTCTAATTTTTCTTCGAATAAGTAAATGTTCATCATCATCTAGTGTCTTCCTCGTACAGGGTGCGAAGTTCCATTGTAATAGTTATCTGTGCTAGCTCAGATAGACTACTTTATTTCAAAAAAAATCACTTTGTATACAAAATCTACTATTCACAGTAGGAATACACCCAAAAAAAAACACGAATAATTCTTGATCGAATTAAATATAAGTAGCATAAAAAATTTTTCAAAAGTAACTAAAATCCTCTTCGTTCTACATCTGTTTGTACGCCGCAATCTTCTGTTTTTGATGATCGTTGTAATTGAAGAAAATGTTGAATATTATCTGATAATTCTAGATCAACATTACTAAAATTTTCTAGTGCTCGTTTAATAATAAATTGTTGTACAGGTGCTAATGATTTGGCTAAATTACGTGCCAATTGTAAACGTTCATCGGGTCCAAGCACTTGACGATAAAATGTTTTTGATTGTGAAAATTCATCTGAATCTATTGAACATTCATAACGTGATACATTTCCTTCGATTGGATAAATTTTTTCTTTAAAACGATAGGATGTAGCTGCTCCATGAAATGAATTGGGAAAATAATGTGGTGCACCATTTTGATTATTTAAACACATATAGCCACCACGAAAATTATTTGCAACAGGATTAAGAGGACGATTTACAGGCAATTGTGTATAATTTTTTCCTAAACGATATCGTTGTGCGTCGGAGTAAGCAAATGCACGAGCTTGTAACATTTTATCAGGTGACAATTCAATTCCTGGTATAAGACTGCCGGGTGAAAATGCTAATTGTTCAACTTCAGCGTAATGATTTGTTGGTAATCGATTTAATGTAATCATACCTTACAAAAATGAGAAGAATCAATGAGAAAACATTACGACTCATTGATTTTTCTTTTATGCAATGGCAAGGATTAAATTAAGAGATCGATAACAGCAGTGGCCAATTTTACTTAGTTCGGATAGCTAGTAGTCTACTAAAAGTTTTAAAAGTAGATACATCCATAGTCTGACGTCAAAACGTGTTTTTTTGCTCTAAAAACTAAAGTTTAATTGAAATTTTATCCGATTCAATTGTCTTAATCATAATAACCCATCAAATCTCCACACCGTCTTGTCTCGAACTTACACTATTTTGTTGTTTAAGCTCTAGTTTGTCATAAAATGTCTGAAAAATCGACAGACTTAATTCCAAAAGTGTCAACTAATCTTAGTTCAGTTCTCTTTGAATTAAATTAATGTATCGCTTGTACACTAGAAAATGGGAAGAATGTTAGTTTTTACGTATTTTTCGCTATACCTAATGATATTAATGGAAAATATGTTTTAGACCAAACTTTTGTTGTATCAAATGGATCGTAGGATAAATTTTTCACTTCTTGTTCATTCATTTGTTGTATGCATAGCGTCCATGTTGGTAAATCTTTATTTAAACATATTGTATTGTATAGATCTCTTGAGGCATAATCACTATCAATACCAGCCAATACTAATGATTTTGTTGGATCAATTGTACTTATGCCTTGGTTAGATTTAACATGAAATCTGACGTATGATATTTCATTTTCTCGGTTAACAAATTTATAAGTATTGACAGAATAAGTGTTCATATAACGGTAACCATTTGTAATTCCACGAGTAGTGTATAGTAACATCTATTGGAAGACAAAGAGAGTGAAATTCTCTATATGATACTCAGCAGCCGAGAGTGTTTGTTACTCACTAAACAATGTGTACTCTCTGGTCTCAATGTTAAAAAGTCCCAATAAGCATCATGATCAAATAAATTTGTAACAGGATTTCGTTTTTGTGAGTGAATTAACGATGGATATAATAATGGATCACGAATGTAAAAAACTGGTAAATGATTACATATTAAATCAAAATTACCACAATCAGTATAAAATTTAATTGACATTCCTCTTATATCACGTAGTGTATCGGCACTACCTAATTCACTTCTTAAACGTGAAAATCGAATAGCAATCGGTGTCTGTTTATTTCGTTGATCAAGAAATCGTGCACGACTAAACTGACTTCCAATATCTGTCGTACATTCAAAGAAACCAAATGCTCCACATCCTTTTGCATATGTAACACGTTCTGAAATATTTTCTTCATTAAATTGTCCTAATTCATCCAGTAATGTTAAATCGTTTAACAATAATGGTCCACGTGAACCAGCTGATAATGCGTAAACTTTATCACCAACAGGGCAACCTGTTAAACTTGTCATTAGAACTGGTTCATTATTTGAACGAAATGTTTGTAATTGATTTGATGCTACATCGCGATTAAACATAAAAATAGCTTCGGCTGGTGATACTACTGCTTGCGCAGAATTTGATAATCCATTGAAATTTTGTTTTTGATTCATTTTTATTGTTTATTCGACAATTATATTCGATTTATCTTCGTTTTATATGGATCTATTTGACATTTCTATAGTGACCATAGTGACTTGACTAATTTATAGATAGATAGTATGATTGATTGAATTATCTGTGAACAAAAACATAGTTCGTTTTTAAAAGTTTTCATTGATTCGTAATAATAGTTGCTAAAACAACAGAAAATTATAAATCACAAAATGTTCGTGAACACTTTTAACTGATGTTTTATACTTGAAATGTCTTCTTCTCAGCTATTGTCATTATTTTAATGTTTTACCTTACATTTATGTAAATAAAGCATAAATGTAAATAAAATATTATTTATGTTTAAGAACATCAAATATTACATTTATCCACGTAGAAGGTCACATCAAATAATTACACTTGTTTGTGCTATATTTTAGACTTTAATTGTATTCCGTTAATGAATATTATGTTAACATGTTTGAAAGCTGCTGATTACGATAATTATGCGTGTGAACAAGAAGTACAAAAGTTTTATGCATGTGTTCAAGAGTATGATGTAAGTATTAGTCAAAATGTTCATTATTTATTTTATTCTATGCGATATTCTTTTAGACTAATAACGCGGTTGTGAAAAATATGGTAAAAGCTGACAGTGATCAAGCACATAAATTTAAGAATAAACGAGGTCAACCAGCTTGGTTGACAAATAAATTATTAAAAGAATATCCAACTCCAACAAAGATAGAATAGCATTTATTTATTTGTTTTGTGTCTAGTATTTAGTGAATTATTTTGTGTTTTGTTTCTTTACTGTACAATAAAAGTGTTTTTATTCTAATTGAAGTCACATTTGCTGTGATATTTCCAAAATTAAATCTTGAATTTCGTATTTATCGAGATTTTCCATAGTTGTTGCATGGCATTAGAAAATTTTTGTGTACATAACTCATTTTTAGTCAACTCTTTCATAAACTGAGAATTTGTCAGACTTTTTAAATTAGTTTCATGATAAGAAGAATTACCTACTGAAAAACATTTTAAAACATTCTGCGTTTCGTCTGATAAAAATGCGTATTTTTACTAGAGCCCTGAGTTTTTTCGTCTCGATCCCGTCCTCTAGGCTCAATTACGATCCCGTTAAATCTCGAAAAAGTTTATTTTTTTTCATTTTTGTGATAATGAAACATAGATCCAATAGATTAGAAAAAGAAATATCCGATTCCGCAAAATTTTTTCCTCTAGTCCGTATCTTGATCCCGCAGAATTTTAGTTTTTACACTTTCTACGCAAGATCACGAAGAGAAAATTTTTGAGATATTTTAGAAGAAACATACAAGATTATTTCGCTTTTCGCGAGATGTCCTCAGTTTTTTTTAGCGAGTCCTATCGAGTCATATTTCTGAAATAACTCTTATCAGATCAAGAAATTAGTCGTACAGTCACATTTTTATTTTAATACTAACTAATGAATAGTTACTAATAAATGAATAGTTTACCTTTGAGACATACAAAAGCGCAAGTCTTCAGCTACACGTTAAAAAAGTTTTTCTTTAACACTCGACCTTTCCAAAACTGTACATTGAAATTTCCAAAATTTAGGGAGAAAATCTTCAAAAAATAAAAAGTTTCAGTTAAAATTTGAATGAAACTTGTGTGTGTGTTTATCTGTTTATGAAGAGTTAGTATTAAAATAAAATGCGATTGTACGACTAATTTCTTGATCTGACTCACTAAAAAAAAAACGAATTAATCTTGTACGCCATTCTTCTAAAACGTCTTAGAAATTTTCTCTTTGTGATTTTATGTAGAAAGTGTACGCATTTTTATCAGACGAAATGCAGAATTTTTTCTCAGTGAGTAGTGGAAATTCATGTAGAAACGTCTAAATACACATGAATTTCTCTCTGATCATTAATGGTTTTTTTTTTATCTACTTTATAAACACGAGAAATAAATCATAATTTGTCGTCAAAACCGAAATCGAATATAAAAATCTTTAATTACTTAAAATAAAATAATTTATAGAATAGAAATAGTATCTTTTTATTGGAAAAGAAAAATATCGCTTAGCTCTATCGAATGAGAAAAACTTACATTTTTTTTCTCCTAATAGAATTTTTATGAAGTGAGCTATTTTCAATAAAACCATATTATATCAAAATAATCGACTATTTCCCATACATATATATATATATATAATAATCATTTAGAAATTAGAAGTTCTTCGGATAAAATTCAATTAATAATAAAAACTATCAGAAAAAAAATCCTTCTCATATTTCATTCGTTCTTGAATATTTAATTTTCTTCGTTTTAGAGTAGACAAAATGATTACATACGATAGAATTATTTAAAATAAAATACAATCAATAGATATGAACTAAGCTGTCGATGAAATAAATAATAAAAATATAGAATAACACAACGTAATAATGTTAAATAAGAAAACAGAATTATAATCTTGCAAAGTCAACAAAAAAATAATTTATACTATTAACTTCAATTAATATCAATCCATAATGAAAGTCATAGGAATATTTCTCGAGTTTGCATCTACAATAGCGTGATTATCTATCATTTTTAAAGTTAATTATATAACAAAACTTTTATGTAGTTTTGTGTATCACTACATTTTCATTAAAATCATATGTCATATTAAAATCAGTTTTATTTGAAAATGAATTTTGTATAAATTTATGTACGTTTTTAAGAAAATTCTAAGCGTAAGAACTAAAACAGTTCGTGCGTCTACTCAGTTAAAATGCTTATCATCTATCAGCGACATCGGTCTAATCTTGAGAGAAACCGTAATATGTGTTTAAATCAAATCGTGACTACTCGAGTTCATCCTCCTTGATCTAGTCACCTTGAAACTTGAGACGAAATTGAATTGATTCTCGAACAATAAGCCATCACCATGGTTTGGGTATGTAGATGATGTGTGAATAACTCAATATTCACCAAGCATTTGAAGAAAATATGCAAGAAATTATTACCTCTAATTCAACTCAATGTCTCATTTCTCAAAACATTTATATTAAAAAATGTTTTTCTACCGCTATAGTAGGGATAAGATAAGAGCAAATAGAGTAGGAAATTGATCTGTTGCATATCGTGCAAAGATTGTAACAAATACTAATATGAAGAAGCAGGAAGAGAAAAATCAATCCAAATGAACAAATACTAGACTGATATTCGAAATGACAAACCATTAATAGTTCAATATGGCAAACATGATAAACACTCATTCGATTTCTCTTATGTTGGTATATTGTGACTGGAAAGTGAGTCTATTCACATATCAGAATTGCGGCAAATCTCTGAATTAAATGAAACAAACAGGTAATTTTCGACAATTATCTGTTCTCTTTCTTTTACGCCATATTAACACATACAATAACTTAAAGAGTTCAAGATTATAATCCATCGAAATTTCGATGGATTATAATTGAAGTGAAGAGAAGAGATTGTTCTTATAGTGAATTGTTTGGATACAGCAGTAAATTTATGAACATTCGGTCTTCTTATATCATTCGAAATTTTATCTACTTTAAATTGAACTATAGACTAAACGTATGGTTTAATTTCGAAAGTAAGAAGGAACGATATCCTCTCGATTCGTCTCTCACTGGCTTTGCAGATCAAACAACATCAAAGGTGACATTAAAAGTAAGAGTGAGTATTAGAGGGACGAATCGAGAGTAAATCAAATAAATAGGGTATATTATCGTTCACAAAAATACTAAAAAGAGATTGAAATTGAGTCATTATCAAAGATAATGAACAATTGTCATCTTAAAAGACTAATGACGCTTCAGAACTAGACATATTTGAATCGTACATTGTCGGCACTAGAAGAAGTAATGATAATTTTACACGCTGCTAACAATGACTTAAATACGAGAAATATCAAGACAACAATTTAGTTTTGATATTAATCGAGTCAAATTTTTGTACAAGAATATCTCATGAAACTTTATTGAATGCTTTCTATAAGTCACAGTTAGCATAATACAGTGTCATTTTCAATTCAATCTAACATTGATAACAAAACCTGTTCTTTGTGTATAGCACATAATATTATTATAGAGCAATAGTTGCTGATAGACACTTCTCCTTTCTTGTATGTCTGTCTTACACTCACAACTTTTGACTAATCGAAAAAGATTTCCTAGTCTACAAATAATCGAACTATATTCAAAAGATGTTTTATAATTACAGTTTTACAGATTTTTAGAATTTGTATTTAAAGATTCTTTTATACCTACCATATAGATTTGCTTTTTATTCTAGAAAATATGTTTTCAATATCTTTCATTGTTATTTTAATAGAAGTGCTTTAAAATATGGAGGAGTATCAGCAACTATATTGACATTGAAAGTCCATAAGGAAAAGTAGTCATTGATTATATTTTATGTCTCTTCAATAGAAGAGTGTTGATTACTGTGTGTGAAGAATTCAGTTATATGACCTTCATTTTTTCTAACGTTGTTTAATGAAAGCTAAAAATAGATTCGATTAAGAAAAAAAAGAAGATATTTTTCTGAATAATTGACGTTTGTCTCAACTAACAGGAGAAATAACTTTGGTAAAAAAATAATTTAAACGATTGACAGTGAATTGTTGATAAAAAAAGCAAAATACTTTCGAACCACTCGTCATTTCTTAGAGATATGTAGCAGTATTTCATCACTTTTTTACACGGAATAGCAGCAATTGATTGAAATTATAATAAAACAAAAGTGCTAAGATATTCAATGAACAATACGTTATTATAACTGTTTTCAGATCCGACAAATGAAGAATAGTCTATACAAGAAGTTTTCGTAGTAGAAATATGATTAGAATCACATTGAAACGTTACACATAGATAATGGAACATTATGTATTTAAGCATTTTATAAATTTGCACTTAATTACCTGATATCAAAAGAGAACATCATATGGTGAAAGAAGATTAAATAACAAAATGTTTCTTTTATTAATATAAGGAAAATATAGAATAGAAAGAAAGACAAATATTACAAACAACGAAAATTTTGTTTTTCAAACTAAATAGGGGATAATAATTAATTTCATCTCACATTATCAAAACAAATAAATTCATGAGGGAAAATAGTCGATTCGTGAACCAGAACTTCAATATCCTGTCGATTTCTATCTTTCTATATATATACAAAATCGTTATTCACTTGAATTTTTGATCGCTTATATATTATTTGCAAAGACATATCAGAAAAATCAGATAAAGAAATTAGATTGTCAAATAGATCCAAATGTTTGGAATCTTTTTATATGTTGCAAAACAACTCTTTTTTTATTAATGTGTTCATTGTGTTGTGTTTTTATTAAATTAGATATGCAACAGTCACTCTATAGTCTTGGATTCGCATCATAATATGAGATTTTTCCATCATAAAAGAAATTGTATGCATGATATAATAGAAGTATATATATATATATATATACATCTTCTGAAATCCTATTGTAATCAGCGTTGATTTTATCCAGTGATAGAAATGGTATACCTTTTTTGCATCAGAATCTTATTATGTCATGAAAAAAATAAATCTGTTTAGTTTTACATGTTAGAAGATATTCCAAGCAGTATTAAATATGGTAAAATTGTGGTAAAAAGTGATCAAATTATGATTAAATTGTGATAAAGTTATTCAACAAATAGTGTGACATATTCTGTTTTTTTAAGATGATGTGTTATGAAACAAATTACTGTATATGGTCGAATTCT